GTCGCTACCTCAGCAGAGTATAACACGATTACTTTCTATGCACAATATTTCATGACGCTATAATTATTAATAATAGTAATATCTTAATTACACAAACGTTCTTTCTCTTTGAAGGAAATCCGCTGGTTTGCAGATACCTCATCTCTGACTTTGAAAAAAGAGAGCCTACAGCGCAATTAGGCGACCTCAGTTGATAGGTGGAGTGTGTCTTTCTTCCCCCCCCCAAAAAAAAATATCCCCCCTCTCTCTCTCTCTCCTCGTCCCCCTTTTTTTTTCGTAAAAGTTCCTCTCCCCCTCATCTCGTTTACTCTTCTTCAGCCGTACACACAAATGTCACATTCTCGGCGAGAAGAAATAACAAACCGACTTCGACAGTTCAATGCTGGGGACCAATATGAAATTGTAGATGTCGTTGGAGAAGGTGCATATGGCGTTGTATGGTAAATTCTCTCGTTTTCCCCCTTAATATATATACATACCTCGAGAGAAGAAAAAGAGATAGAGTTCTCATCTGACAACGGCTATTGACAATTTTCAAAATAGTTCAGCCGTCCATCGACCTACAGGACAAATGGTAGCCATTAAGCGCATTTTACCTTTTGACCACGCCATGTTTTGTTTGCGTACGTTACGCGAAATAAAACTGTTAAAGTATTTCAACCATGAAAACGTAAGTTGTACACGCATCCCTTCACCTCTTACTTTCTTTATGTAGAATCCAAGCCTGACTAGTGTTATTTTCTGCTTCATAGATTATATCCATTCTTGATATTGTCAAACCACGGTCTATAGACGAATTTTCTGAAGTGTACGTTTGTATTTTGACATTGAATATCTTGTTAGCAGTAGTGACGATTTACGTATTGACGAAAAAACACACACCATTTTCATCATCATCATCCTATATCATGACCACAGATACCTGATCCAAGAGTTGATGGAAACCGACATGCATCGCGTGATCCGAACACAAGATCTATCCGACGACCACTGCCAATATTTTACATACCAAACGCTTCGAGCGCTCAAGGCAATGCATTCGGCCAACGTCCTGCATCGCGACTTGAAGCCAAGCAACCTGCTCCTGAATGCTAACTGTGACCTCAAAATCTGTGATTTGGGTCTAGCACGATCTGCAAACTCGGCGGACGAAAACAGCGGCTTCATGACAGAGTACGTGGCCACGCGCTGGTATCGCGCGCCCGAAATCATGTTGACGTTCAAGGAATATACAAAGGCAATCGATGTGTGGTCTGTGGGCTGTATTCTGGCTGAGATGTTGAGTGGCAAGCCATTATTCCCCGGAAGAGACTATCATCATCAGTTGACGCTGATCCTGGATGTCCTGGGAACACCTACCATGGACGACTTTTATGGCATCAAAAGTCGACGGGCTCGAGATTATATCCGGAGCTTGCCGTTCAAGAAACGCATTCCCTTTGCGCGTCTTTTTCCCAATGCTAACCCGCAAGGTAATTTTAAAAAAGTCTATGAATGGATTGATAATGTATATGGAAAGAGATAGAGAGGGAGTGCAATTGCTGATTGACGGTATAATTGTCTTAGCTGTGGATTTGCTCGAGAAGCTGCTTACATTCAACCCTGCAAAACGAATCACGGTTGAAGAGGCATTGAAGCACCCGTATCTTGAACCAGTAAGCATTTTATAGCGGACAAGACAATGTATAATGCGTATATGCTAACTCATTGTGTGTGTGTGTGTGTGTGTGTGCACGTAATGATAGTACCATGACCCTGATGATGAGCCAGATGCACCACCAATTCACGAAAGTTTCTTTGACTTTGACAAGTACAAGGATCAACTTACCAAAGAGCAGCTTAAGCGTAAGTTACTTTTCTTACGATGGATTGGCTCAATACTATGATCTAACCTTAACCTTCCTTTTCTCCCCAACACAGAAATGCTCCATCATGAAATCACGCATTAAACCCAACCAAACAAGCCCCCAGTTTGTCAATATTTCTTCTTCTTCTTTTTCCTTTCATGTATACCGTTTTCCTCATTCTTTCTTTTTTTACTACCAACTCTTTCTTTGAATCTATCTCTGCCCAAAAACAAACAAACAAAAAGGAATTCTTTTTTCTTTTTTATTACTCAAATTTATTTACATGCATAAATGTTCGGTGGCTGATAGGATTGTATGTGTGTATTGTGTATGAGAAGAAGGAGTATAGGTTGTGTGTGTGTGTGTGTGTGGGATTAATACATGCACTTTAGCTGTTGTGGAATACGAGCGTCGGGAGGGGAAGGGTTAAATTATAGAGACTGGGTACGTTAAAAGTAAAAAGAAAAAAAGGAGAATGGGGGTGAATTAGGTCGATTCTTTCTTTCGCTTTAGTTTCTTTTGTGGATGATGTGCGGCGCCCTTGCGCGTGGGCGTCGTCTGTCGATGATTTGGATTCTGTCTTTGGATCTCTGCTAAACAATCATTGCAGTACCATTTCCCTGCAGGAGGCTCCGTCAAGCCCAAGCACTCCATGTGGAACCATTCGTATGGACAGTTCTATCAAAGGTTCTTTTTGTTAGATATACATCATGTGTGCTTTGTATATTTCTTTACTTGACTTTACCTCGCCATCACAGCCCACCATTTCTCCAAACGAAACCTGTCGACAATAGCAATAAAGCGGCTCCTCTTCATTATTCTCATCTCGTTCTTTTCGTTTCTTTCGCTGGTGTTGCTGTTGTGATGATGATGATGATGGTGGTGGTGGTGGTTGCAGTTGGCGCTGTTGCTGCTGTTGCTTAACTGCTTCAACGTACGGCTCTTCTTCTTCTTCTTCATCAAGCTCCTCTTCATCCTCTTCTTCATCATACACGGGACGCTTGTCTATATACGTACATTGATCAGCAAATACGTTCCCTCTCTCTCTCTCTCTCTCCCCTTTCCTTACTCCAGTGCTGCTGCTCCACCTCCACCCCCAAACGACTTACTTAAACGAGGCGTTTGTGATAATGATATGGAAGCTTGTGGTCGAGGTGTGAAAGTAGTATGGCTGCTGCCAATGTCAACCAAGTCGAGATCACTACCTAGTCTATGTAAATGACGATCCACCTACAGTTGTATTGTTTTCTTATTTTAGCGCAACCTGTAATAATAAAGAAGTAGGGAGAGGGCCACAACCCTCACAGGCAAAGAAAAAGAAAACACTTGCCAGTTGTAAAGCTCCTTCCATTAACTCGATTCTCTCCGTAGCAAGATCTTGTAGTTTGTCATAATCCCGTTGTATCCTTTTAACAAGAACTGGCTCATGGCGTTGGATCTTTTGCCTCTTTTCAATTTCGGGATGGAACCATTGTTTGTGAAGCTTGGCCAAATCATGTTGATGGACGTGAACTCGTCGTTCCAAGTCTAATCCGAGCTTTTTATTAGTTTTTTTTTTTTTGCTTTATTTCAGTTTATACATAGACACACGTATAGAGTGCTTCAGCTCTATGTAATGTGCGTTTTTTTTTACTATATTCTTCGTCTTTCTACTTGCTTTGTGCCGTTTCATTTCGATTGAGTACTTCTGCCCAGTGATACTTTATTTCACTTGGAAGGTTCTCTAAACCTTTTCATACATGTGTGAACAAAACAATAGATATCCCCCTCCTCCGTTGACTCATACACCACCAAAGAAAAAAGATTGCTTTCCTCTCTCCAAAGCGATTCGGAAAGTGCTCTTAAAATTAATCCTTTTTATTAAGAAGACGAAAGCTTACTTTGTACATATTCTTGAAGATATCGACCACTATCTTGTTGGATGTCGTTGTCCATTTTTTTTTAATTTGTCGGGAAGGGAAAAAAGAAGTATTAAATTGTTCAAGCACACCAACAGAAACAATAACAACTCCCAAATTTTTTCGGTTAATTTTTGATATGTATATGGACTATGTGTATTTATATTAAATTTGAAAAAATAAATTTCATTGACGGTTCACCATGGCACCTCTTAATAATCCTTGACGGCTCGTTACAACGATTTCGTTGCCTCCTACTACATTGACATCGATTCCTCGCACCTGCCGCTGCGGTCCAATTATGTCTGGCACTGCCGCTACGTTATCCACCGTACCAATCATTTTGCCCGTCTCGATATCCATGACTGTGATCCGCCCTTCCTCCGTAAGCAAGAATAAGGATGTCCGTAAAACATTGTATGCAGTATACTTGACTGGCATAGCTGTCTCATCGCCATCTTGTTCGCCGTTGCATTCGAATCGATGTACCAAAATCATTGGCTGTGTGTCTTTGGGTGGGGAATAGGGTAAATCAACCTCTGTTGATGATGATGATCGTGTTGTTGTTGTTGTTGTTGTTGCTAACCCAGCAATAGCATCCATCATAAAGGATGACAAGTCTCCTTGTTCGTTCAACATCCGTCGTGCTAATTGCTTGAGTTTTGGTGTGCCTCGTTTCCACCAGAAAAATTGTTGCGAGTGATCCTGCTCAACTCCTTCTTCACTTTGCTCGCCTTGTACAGTTGCATTGTTATCGCCTGACAGTGGGTTCCAGTCCACCCGCAAAAGGTACGAAATATCCCATACTTTGATCTCTAACCGATCGTTACGATTGTCACCCACTGCTATTAATCTGAACCCGCGTCGAGCAAAGTCTTCTTTTGTGCATGGTTTATGTTCATCGCCCCAGTATGGCGGTAATACCATTGTAGCTTCTAATCCCCAAGGCTGTACGACTGATCGATCATCGCCGTCATTGTCTTCATCGTCGTCGAGCTGGAAATCCATATTATCATCCCGACCCAACATGAACCGCTCCAAGTCAAATGTTAGATGATTAGCCGGGGGTGGTGGCGCTACATTTTCATCATGCTGTTGAGGAGTCACAACGACATGCTGCTGCTGTTGCTGTTGCTGTTGCTGTTGCTCTTCCTGCCGTTGCAGTTGTTGTTGTTGTTGTTGTTGTTGTTGTTGCTGCTGCTGCTGCTGCATGCGTTCATCTCGGGTCTTCCAAGGTAACACGCCAACTTTTAAACCAAAGCGCCAGTCATAAACAGTGAGTTCATCGGTGACATAACTGCCTGTGCATATCAGATGGTTGAGCTGCGGCGGATGTCGAAAATGGATCATGCAACTGATTTTTCGGCCCATCGGTATCCTAGCAATCACCGCCGCAGGGGGACCATAGGAACGTGGCCTGACGCCCATTGTGCCTCGCAAAAGCCGTAATCTGCGATTAAATCGCATGTCACCATTACTACTACTACTACTGCCACCACCACCGTTGTTGCCTGCCACTGTTGCCGCAGTCGTAATAGGAAACAAAGGCATAAATCGTCGAATGCTAGAGTCCCAAACAACGGGCTCTGTGGATGGATCGAGGATACTACAATCCCCACGAATATCGAACCGCACAAGACGGCCACACCCAGACACATGTGGAAAATCGGGCCCAATCGCCAACATAAAGGCAGTGTAATGAATGTCAAAGTTGGCATATTCTGGCGCGACAATTTGCATCCATTCTCGAACACTTTCTTGTTCTTCTTGTTCTTCTTTTTTGCGTCCGTGATCGCCGTCGTCGTTGCCATCGTTCGATCGACACCAAGATGCTTCGGAGAAGAAAAACACATCCCGCCCCAACAGCTGACCATCCATATTCAAATGTGCCACGCATTGCGTTGCACCACAATCAAACAGTCGAAATATAAGCACAGTTTGCCATAAATCGACTCGGTCCTCGCCTTCGAAATCATCCTGGTGGTTGTTGACAATCAACGGCTGTCCGATAGCCAGTGAGAACAATCGAATCTTGTGCGTCTCTTTACCACTTCCATCTTCCTGGTTGTTGTTGTTGTTGGGAGAAAACATGCGGATGCTTTGGATCCCCGTGATCTGACAGGATGTGTCTGCAGGCGCAAAGCTCAAGTCGAACTCGCGGATCAGTCGCCAAGACGGATACTCCCAAAACAGAATCTTGTGTTCGGAGCGTTGCGGATGATGATGGAGTCCATTTTGTGGCGGTTCTTTGCGATGTTTACCCGTGGCTACCACGCCTGTTTTTGTCACACGGTCGATATCTACCACCAAAGGGTCCTGTATCCGGAATGGCGGTGGGTAGTAGAACTGTTGCTGTTGTTGTTGCATCGGCCGTTCAAAGACGGGTTCTTCACGAATATTGGCGAGTTGGGAAAGTGCTGGCTGGGGTTCGAAAGTGTTTAATGATGCTTGGTTCTGCACTTGACGATGGAGTTGATCCAAAAGGGTGCGGTTGTAATCATAGTTGTTGTTGGTGCTGTTATTGTCGTTATTATTATTGGTACTGCTGTCACCTCGACTGGGAATCGGTGTTGACGCCGTTGTGTTGACTGGCGTGGTATTGTGCTGCGGTGAGGATGGTAAAGTTGGCAGGGGTGGTAACGAAGAGGATGGCCAAGGCAAGTCCTGGATATTCGTGGGTGATGGCGATGACGTTGAGGGTGAGGTAATAGTAGTATTCGAAGATCGGTGAATGATTGGCATAGACGAGGATGAGTGTGGGGACGGCGATCGTTTGTTAATACTGCTGCTGTTACTGTTATTATTGCAACATGCAGTCTTGTAATGGGGTGAGGATGTTGAAGGTCGTAATCGGCTTCCGCCGTCATCTTGCTGTTGTTCAGCCAATTTACGTTTCTGTGGTACTTTGCTCTGTCGTAAAGCAGCTGCTTTATTTTTTGCCTCGATACTGGTTTCGTCGGGTACAAACTCTAATGAAAACGACTGTGCTCGACGTTTCTGCTTGGCAATATGCACCATAAAGTCTTTCCAGTCGATCAAGGGTTGCGCACGAGAATTGCATTGCACTTGTGAACTCCATGTGGGATAATTGCTTCGAAACACTTGAAACCATAATTGGGTTTCTTGAGTAATTCTATTTTTTCATAGTGAATTATGAGTCGAGAACGGATACAATGAGAAACAAAACTTGTTAGAAGAAAGATACTGTGTTGTTGCGATTCAACAATACTGCTGTTACAAAGCACTATCTTTTTGGAGGTGGTGGTGGTGGTGGTGGAGAGAGGGAGGGGGGATGGAGACGGACCTGTAGAATCTTTTACAAACGAGCTCTAATCGTAAAAGCTGCTCTGCATCTTTTGTCAACAAGGAGAATATGCGTAGTATTAGTTCGTCTGGTAATAAGTCCATGTAAAAAGTGTAAGATTGAAGGAAACGAGGGAGTAGTGTGGCAAATAGAGGTGGAAGGAAAAGAAGGTTGGAGGGATAGAGAGAATGGAAAAGAAAGTGGGGTCGGTGGGTCAAAACTGTTGCCTAAAAGCTGTGTCTATGTGTTCATCCCCCTCCACCCCCACTTTTTTAGTTTACTCCAAAAAAAAAATGTCTGACGACGGATTCGCCATTCCTGCAGCACCAAAGCGAAAATCACAAGAGCCAGCACAACCACAATCACCACCATCGCCACAACAACAAGACGCGCCTCCACTCCCTTATAAAAAGCCAGAATGGAGTGCACTGGCACAGCACGGGTATGGTTTTGAGGTACTCAAGGGTGGTCTCAGCTTGGACAAGATTCATGGTCCACAGAAAGAATTCGCTACGATCGGTATGTCTTTGTTGTCAATTTCTTCCCAATCGCACTTGTTGGTTCTCTTCATAATTGACAAGAGCACTAATTGCAATAAATAACTTCTTGACGATATAGGCCGATTACCACTTTGCGACATTCAAATGGAACATCCTGTAAGTTGATCTTTCTTTGTTTATAGAGCGTGTCTTGTCGCTATTGTTGCTAAGTATCCCTTTTTAAAAAACAGTCAATATCTCGATATCATGCAGTGATACAATTTAATCACGATGGCAACGCATTTATCTATGATTTGGACAGCGCACACGGAACACGCGTCAATAAACAACGCATAGCACCACGAACACATATTCCACTACAACCGGGCGATCAAGTCCGTTTTGGTGAAAGTACGCGAATTTGCATTTTCGACACAGACCAGCAGTTGGATGAAGAAGAAGAAATTGAAAAGGAAGAAGCTATTCGTCATCGGTCGCGGGCAGCCATGACACAACATGCGGCAGAAGAAAGGAACATTGCAGCAGAAGAAGAAGGCATATCATGGTATGAAGATACATATATCGCATCTGTTTTGAAAGAGCAAAGGAAAACTAACTGTAAAAAAATATCAAAGGGGATTTCAAGAAGACGCTGTCGAGGAACCAGACGAGGATGATGAAGAAGAAGAGGGCGAGCAGAATCAGGAAGGACCACGATCGGGTGATGCAGACTTGATTGATGTTGTTAAAGAGAAAATGATGTCCGAAGATGCCAGTAAGTACTAGTCGTAGAAGTAATAGGGTCCCATCTCGTTGCATTATGACTTTTTCTCTAACTTTTTATTTTTAACGTGATAGAACGGCGGCGAGATGAATTGGATATCATGTACGGTGATGAAAGTGATGAAGAGGCGCTCTATGATAAAACAGGTATTGCCATTGTTTGTTTGTGTGATTCGAGAAAGATAAATACTAACTGGTGTCTCATTTATCAGCTCCCAAGAAGAAAAAAGCAAAGACGACAAACAAGGCCGAGACATATCAAGACTTGGTAAATCGCAAAAAGGAATCGGATAAGGAGATCACGGCACTGGAGGCCGATTTGAAACTGCGGAAAAAAGAAGGTAACATTGTTGATTACGGAACCGCTGAAAAAAGAAAGTAATTAATCATGCCCAATTTATCATCAATTAGTTGAAGACGGAAAGAGCAAAGAAAAGGCGGATGACGAGGATCTGGATGCGTACATGAAGAGCTTGTCAAAGAAATCCGAAAACAAGCCATCCGTGTATAAGCTTGAAAGTGATTTGAAGAAACTACGCAAGGTACAGTAGTAGATACATAGTCGTTGTAGAGAGAGAAGGGACACACAATATAACACATTTTATATATATTTAGGAAAACGAACGGTTAGCGAAGCTCGTAGAGCTGACCAAACCATCCGACATTTTCAACAGCTAGTGGCAAATGTGATTAAATCATTCCTCAGAGCAAACCATGTTCAGCAAGGTAGTCGAGAGCCATCCAGGCAGTTTGAACACTGGGCAGCATGACCTGTCCGGTAGTAATAAAGCGTTTCAAGTCTGCAATAGGCACATCGTTAATAACCTCCATCCATTCCTCGTTATCGCGTGCGCGTGGTTGTGGATCTTGCTCTGGATCGATACAAAGATAGGGAACGAATCTGTTCTTGCCCCATTTGAGTTCGCTGATGCCGTCAGGCTGGTCGTCGGGCAACATGTTGATCCATTTTCCTCCCTTCAGACGCGCTTCTTCCGATAATTCATGTTCTGCTGATTCGAGTGGACTATATCCGCGCAGCATATCATTTACAAGTATTAGGACACATCTTATAAGTAGGTGGTGGGAGAGAGAACGCACCTGCTGTGTTTTCTTCGGTCATATGATCCAGCTGTGCAAGTATATTTCTAAAAAGAGAGAATGTTGGCACACAAAAGGGTAATACAACAGCAGGCAAGCACCCATTTATGTTACCACTTCGTTTGTTCCTTGCGCGTACTCCTTTAGAATGCACGTCGTTTTCTATTGGCATATGTATAAGTTAGCTTGTCTTCCACGTGAGCGTTCCAAGGTTGTCTTGGCGCTGCAGAAGCAGTTTTACCTTTTTTGAATCAAACGTAAAGACAGTAACAAAAGTGGGATACGGTGTGTCGTGCCCGACGACATCCCATTCTATCTCCCGGCCATCATCAAAGCGTGTTTTGCGATTCCAGACTGAAATGTAACTGAATGTGTATACAGGTCCATTCATAGATGAGTGACATTATCGTACACCGTAAAGAGAGAGAAAGAGAGAGAGAGAGGGAGGGGGAATATACCGTTTATGTAGTTGTGTTTCGCTAATGACAGTTGCAGCAGTGCCTTGCACGTTGAGCTGCAGTTTGTCAGCCATAGTAAACAATAAAATATGGACGAGTGTGTGTGCGTGTGTACGTGTACGTGGTAATAGGACCCAGACACGGACGAATTAGAAGGGAGAGAGGGCCATTTCATTTCAGTCAGTGCTTTGCTTTTCTCGCTCCCTCCCTCTCTCTCTCTCGCTCTCTCTCTCTCTCGTGACACCTTGAATTCATGCTTCTCTTTCCCTCTCGCCTACTTTCTTTCTTCTTTCTCTTCTCACTTTCTTTGTTCGTTTCTACTCGCCAACAACAACAAAAGTACTTGCCTCGCCCCAACCGACAGCTCTTTCACAACACTGAATAGCCATCATCATCAAAGGGGTCCTCTCTCTCTTCATATCTGAAACTACTGTCTGCACTAAAAAACTAGCTACCCCTCCCCTCTCTCTCCTTCCTTCCTTCCCACACCAACAACCCCCTTCCTTGGGCTTTCTCTGTTCTTTTCTTTTTTTTTTTACTTTCTTTCTTTTGAAGCTTTTGTCTTCTCACCTGAAACATAGACCTTCTTTGCTTTCAACCTCTTCTTTTTTTTTTACAACACACTTACGGGAAACCCGGCTTTGAAAGAATCTTCTTCGCCTTTTTTGACAAAAGTCCAGTCCAGTCCCTTCATGACGCCATGATCTCGCAAATGTCTCGAACTATTCATCCAAGCAATGTAAGCGCCCTTAACTTGTCCTTTTTTTTTGTATGTTTCAAGTTTCTTTGTTTCCCAAGCTTAACTCTATTGAGGGGTTTTTTGGGTGCCCAAAAAACAAAAATAGACACTGTCGAGTAATGACGATGGAAGCAGTGACCTGAGTCATTCGTCATCTGCTTTGACCAACACCTCACGGTCAACCTGGAAGGCAGTGGGCAGTCCGCCTCGAGCTATTGGTGGTGGTGGTAATAATGGACGACAAAGCCTTCTTTCACAGTCTCAAACAAACAACAGCAACAATGCCTCGACAACAACAACAACTACTACGACGACGACGACGACAAACGCACCCAACAGCACTTCAACAATCAACAACAACAACAACTTTGACTATTCTCGTTCCATGACCGGTAACAATACGAACAGTGGTGTCACCGCTACCACACCAGATCACCATCATCCATCTTCCCTCAGCTGGTTCCAACAAGATTATGCTTTCCCACCGGTCCGCAGAAACTCAGCAGTAAGCACCGCAGCTGCCGCCGCTGCCGGTCCTCCTCCTCCTTCTACTCCAGTAGTAGCAGCAGCGCCCTGGGCAACCACTACCACAACAACAACAACAACAACTGCTACTCTTCCTACACCTCCACCATCCATTTCGGCTTGTTCAAACGCCTTTTTCCCTCCCCCTCCGCACCCTACCGCCGCTGACCGTCGCTCATCCTTGAACGAGTACCCCGATATTGCTTCGGTGCCCATGCTGCCCGAGGTTTCGACAGAGCCGTTTTTTAGAGAACACCGCAGCATGTCATACTCCATTGACAATACTAGTAACGGTACTACTACCGCTGCTGCTTCCGGGGACTATAATCCACGATTTGCACAACATCTGGTGACCATGCACGAAGAAGAGGATGATGACAATATTTACGGTGAAGATGACGACAATCTAGAATACAACAACACTAGCAACGAAGAGTTGATTATGCCACCCACCATGGATGATGAGATGCTTGCTGCGGCACAACTTCGCGCCCGGTCCAAATCCTCGGCTGCTGCATTTGATATTTGGCATCCAGCACATCCTTCTTCCGAAGATTCTTGGATGGGTGCCGCCGCTCGTCTGGCAAGTCAACGCAGATCGTCTGTAGCGCATGCACCGCCCCCTTCTTCTTTTCACCATCATCATCATCATCAACAGCAGCAATCCCATTCGTACCACCATCCACATCATCACAACCTCAACCACCATCATCATCAAGCAAGTCTTGGTTCTGTGTATTCCCCACCTCCACTCCCACCTTCTTCTTCTTCGTACATGTCGAATGGCGATCGTGAACGCTTGGCTAGCTTGCGAAGGTTTTCATTATCGCCCATGCCTGAAAGCAGAATACAGGGAGGTGTACCAACTGGTGCTGCGCCAGTGTCTTCGACGGATGCGGATAGAAAGTGAGTCAGTGGCGGATCAAAAAAGGGAGATAAAAAGAGACGACACATGTTGACTTTGTTCTATATATTAGTGCATTTGCGTTCCTCAATCAAAGACGCCATTCACTGGCCATGCCTGTCCCACAAAACAGCAATGTCAGCGTCAATGAGTTAATGGAAGGGTTGCAAAGCTTAAGGATACAAGGAAATGCCACCCCGCCTTCTTCATATCCATCTGCTGCTGCAGTAGCGGCAGCGGCGGCGGCGGCGGCAGCAGCATCAGGTGGTCAGCCATCCATATCTCACCATCACCAACAACAGCAGCAGCAGCAACAACAACAACAACAGCAGCAGGATGACTTATCAATCGAATACCCACCAGAAAACATGGGCAAAGGATCCTTGTTGGCAGAGATTGATGAAACAGCCTTGTTTTGTGTGGTCGAGTTCAAACGAGGACGATCGGACATGTACTTTTCGCAACCGGATCAGCCCACACCGTCGCGCAACGATCTGGTCATTGTGGAAGCGGATCGGGGTCATGATTTGGGCAAGGTGACGTTGGACAGAATAAGTCGGTCGCAACTGGTATCCATGATCAAGCAACAACAAGAAAAGCAACAACAACAACAGCAGCAACAGCAGCAGTTGAATGGAAATGGAACAACAGAAGAAACCACTACAGCAGCAAAGAAGAAAGAGGTCTCGATAAAACAAGTCATTCGGTTGGCCAAGCCGGCAGAAATCACGCTACTCATGGGTAAAAGTCAAGATGAAGCCAAAGCTCTTTTGGTGTGTCAAAGTAAAGTGAAGCAGAAGCAGATGCCGATGCAAGTGGTGGATGCAGAATACCAATGGTACGTTTGTCAATGGGGTTTTGCTTTGTTGACGGTACAAGTGTTACTAATGCTTCTCGACTTAGGGACAAGCGCAAACTGACGTTTTACTTTATTGCGGACCGTCGTGTGGATTTCCGAGAACTAGTGCGCGATCTCTTCAAACTGTACAAGACAAGAATTTGGATGTAAGTAAATTTTTTTCTTTTTTTACGGGTTCTAGGTTACAATGATAACTTACTGTCTTTTTTGGGGGGGTTGTTGTTGTAGGTGTGCTGTTGGTTCCAACCAATCTTAACAGCCCCATTCAGTCCTACCTTCCTGAACCTCTTTCCATTTGCACGCACACACACAAGCCCAGCTCGATCCGTATATACAGAAATGACATACAAGAAATAACCCTGCATGTTACATATAGCAAAAACAGACACTTATAGAAGATCTTTTTTTTTTCTCTCTCTTTATCCTTTTCTTCCTTTTACCCTTTTACCCTTTGTCCCAATCCTCTCTCTCTCTCTCCCCTTCTATCCCGTGATATATCTCTCACTTATGCAATGCAACAAAAAAAAAAGAAGTACAATCTTTTGTTTGGTAGATCTAATTCATGTAAATAACGTTTAAATTTACCAGCAATTTATAATATGTTGTTTTTATTTGTTCTTTAAAGCCAGGTCATATTAGCTCAGAACGGATGGTGGGGTTTGGGGTGTGGGTGACTAAAAGTAGCAAGTGGTGTGGGTGTTATGTCAATACAAAATGTACAATAAAAGTATAATGGTAAGGATATGGTGATGACGATGGTTTGCAAGGATGGAGATATACGTTCGGCATCATAGAAATAAACGAAGTATAGTGTATAGTGGGGAGAAGAGGAGGAGAAAGATATGTAAAGAAGAAGAAGAAGAAAAGAGATAATGCTGTGCTAAGAGAAGAAAAAGAAGATTGATGCTGATGATGATGATGATGAGATGACGGTGATGACGAGGGTAATGTTGACGGTGCCAAAGAACTACACCCAGCAGTGGATGTTGTAATAAGTTATTGCACAAGGTACTTCATCAGATTCATGATGGCAATCTGCTCCGCTTCCGACTTCTTCAACCCCACGCCTCGACCCTCCACACTGTGTCCACCGCCATGCAACGATGCCGTCGCCTCAAACACTTTGGAATGCGCAGGACCTCTTTCTTCAAATTCGGACTTGATCTTCAACCCCTCCACATCGCGTACATACGAGAACATCGATGACTTGGGATTCGCCGCCTGCACTGGGTCGCTGAGCATCTTGTCGATTTTTGCAAGATCCACCATCTTCCGAAGCACCTCGCGTGCTGTCATTGTTTCTAATGACGGTGGATGGATGGATTCGGGCAGGAGTGCTGCTGCTCTTTCCATAAAATTGTTACTGTTGTTGCTTGTATCCATCATACTTGTTGTTGTTATGTCCATAGCAGTTGCCACTTTATGTCGCTTGGAGGCGCCGTCCTGTAGTTGCTGCTGCTGCTGCTCCTCCATCAACGAGATACGCGGGAAGTCACCGAGCAGCACATGCATCATATGCTGGGTATACTCTTCCTCGTCTTCCATCGACCGTCCTCGCTTGTCTGGGATATGGATTGCCTGTGTCTGCGGGAAGTCAGGAATAGGAGTGTGCCATTCCATGTGTGCAGGATCGATTGGCGATGGCGCGACAGTAGGCTCATGATAATACGCGCTCGCATCAATGGGCAAGTACGGCGCGTCTTCAGCAGTAGTAGCAGCATTCATTTGTCCATCCTCAGACACTGGCTGTCGGTCCCGGATTTCTTGATCCGGTTGCTTTTGGTAGTAGTTCAAGATATCATGCAGCACCAGCAACTTTGCCTTCTTTTTCGTCTGTCCGTACCGGAGATGCGCGTGCCATCCCGACGCCTTGGTCATTCGAAACGCGATCCTGCAGCCCCAGTCGATCGTGCTTCTGCCCTCTTGCTTTCTCTCTTCAAAACTGACATGTGCTGCGCCGTCACCACGTTTGACAAGCTGCGCAAAGTCGTTACCGGCATTTATTACACCGTTACTGATGGTACTGTTATTGCTGTTATTGGTATGTGACGAGTGACGACGTGGAATAGCAATCGGTCGAGGCTGTGGAGGAGAAGGCGTGTCAAGAGGTGGCACACACGCTACGCCGTTGGTGTTTTGTTGCTGTATCGGCACCGTCGTCGTCGTCGTCGAGTCACCGCCATTCAAAAGTCCCATCCCTTGACGCAGTTTTCTGGGTAGTTGGCTTAGCATCCGAGGTGCATATTCAGAGAGGACAGGCACGATGGTGGTTAGCACAGCGGTTGATCCACCCAGGTCTTGAACAATTCTATCAGGCAAAAAGAAAAATAAAAGGTGTATCATGTTTCAGTTAATGCATTCCGCCCTTTTAAAAACTCTGATCAATCACTAGAGCTTTACCCTATAACGCGTTCAGCTACTGTTTCTGGTGTCAGGTTGCCTGTATTCGATTCATAAAATCGGTATTTTTGCGCGATCGCGCGTGCCAAAGTTTGATTGCGAATCACCAACGTCCGCATATGTTGGAGAATATCGCTGGCATACACCATGAACTGATTTCGTAGATATGTTGAAATGGCAAGCTCTAGTGCTGCCTGTCCTATAAACTCATAATGCTTGGTTTTTTGGGTGTAGTAATTGCGATTTTTTAGTTTATTCATTTTCTTATTGGATTGTCATTTTGGAAACTTGTGTGTCTCAATGACACGCGTCAAGCTTCTTTTCTTTTCCGCTTCTTCCAGTTGATACATACCTTGTCCGCCGGGCCTGACACACATTCTTGAAGTACAGTGGAGAGATCAAGGGGTTGACCATTTCCTCCCACAACGTCAGTGAGCATGTGAGTCAAACAGCCTTGTAGGGACGTCATTGCGTGTCGTCGGGTGGTTTGAGGAAGTGAAGGAGGAAAGAGAAACAGGAACAGGAAAGATCGGCAATTGCGCGCCCTTTAAAAAAATCCTAGTTGGGTGCGTAAGTTTTCTTCCTATCTATTCTCAAGTAAAAGTACAGTAGTCAATCCGTATACCTCTCAAATCATTAGCCCTACCTTATTACCCCTCCATTCATTGGGTGATGGCTATATATTGCCACTACAGCAACTGGCTTTCTATCGTAGAAGGCTTTTATGCAAAGCAGCAACTACGTAGCTCAAAGGAGAAGCACCCGCTTTGGATTCATCTTTATTGATGAAAAAGCACCAGTAAAAACTTTTACATGAAGCTGATATTGCCTATGCACATTACATCCTGGGTATCAGTATGTTGCGAAATTCAAAGTATATCATCTTGAAGGTAAGTATTATGATAATGATGGTTTTGAAACGAGCAAATTCCACTCTTTAACATGCTCTTATCGCTACTCTGTGAAACAAGGGGATGAATATATTGAAAAGGCTGACGTGAACAATCGTGCCCATTTTACAGCAAAGGCCTTACAAGAAAACATCTCTGACTGCTCTGATAAAGTACAGTGAGTAAACGCTGTGAAATAGTCAAGAACCGCCAAAGCAAGATTAGTTCGACGACGTTATTATAGCTAATCTAAGATTTAACTTGACCAACTGTATGAAGCTCGATGTTTTACGTTCATATCGTCAAAAGAACGAGCTTCATCTCCTTCTATTACTACGTACGCAGTTAGCTTCCTTTTTCCTTGAAATACTCAGGATTTTTCAAACCATATTGAAACATTGTCGGAACATTTAATGACCTTTACCCCATGTGGTTTGTTTACATCAACGAGACACGAGATGCACATAATACCAGTGGTCAAACACTACACGGTTGTCACAAAAGCCCCCTCTTTAGAAGCACATGATTTTGCTTGATGCGCTGCTAGCTATAAGCATAACACAAAGACAACCAGTTTGGGCACAAAAGGATTTGTCCATGTTACATATAGCTTACTGTTAGCCCAGCGTTCCAAGTAGCGTGGCAACAGAGATGCATCGTCTTGGGTTGTCAACCTCGATTTGAGCGAAAGCCAATGTATATCTGATATGACTGTGCGTTCTTTTTCTTACAGGTCTTTGGTATATTTTTAACGATCATATACTTAAGATAGTTTCATATACTCTGCAGAATGGAAACTCAGGACAGTACCTAAGATTATCATCAAGCAGCAATGCTATACCAGGGACGTCATTAATGGCTGTTACGTTGATTATATTGGCTCATACGATATAGTTGGCGAGAACATAGTGTTATATGCACGATGAGTCCTGTTGATTACAACCACCCGCCCTCAATAATATTATCGATCTTTCCCGTGTAATTATACCTCTTCTAAGCAGCATTCGAGCAAGTTTCATGTATAAACTCTCTCATCGTCTCTCCTTCAGTTGTTAACTCTCTCGCCCCTATCGTATCATGCCAACCGCTCAACTAACTACTACTAACCCCCAATACCCCAAGAGTTGACGTTAATGGGGAAGGGGAGCTTTCTTTACTTTTGTCTTCAGTTTTGATTGATCCGTCTCCACGGTTTGGTTAGATGCTATTAGCCACAGCGCTCTTCTTCGCATTGATTCATACATATTAACTGAAAATATGAGATGGACAGAATTCACGGTACATCTGCAAAATAAAGTACTTTCTCGTGGACCTAATGTATTTGGAATTTTGCAAGGTCTTCCAAAGCTAATATCTTTTCAGCGATCAGTACCGGAAAAGCAACAGAAGGCGTTGACTCGCAACATTCACTACGGACGTCAGTGGGAATACAAGATTTTCTGCCAAGTATGTACCTTACATCATTCGCCTCGCCACATTTGTACATACCGGCACCTGACTGAGTATTTATAAGATGCCAACAAGCAGCTCAGAGAAAGAACTGGGATGTGTTGTGGGTTCGGACACATGCATAATTTCAAATTCATAGCATAGTTTCTTAGTGCATATGTACTGATGACAAGGTTCATCGGTATAAGGCGAAAACGCGCATCTGCGATTGTTGTTGTTGCTGTTTGTGTCACCGATACCACATCGTACGTACGCGCGGATTTTCTTCCCGGCTAGACACGCATGCATATCTTCCCGATCCGTAGCTGCGTTTATATGATACTCTGCGGGAACAGTACCACCTACTACCATCCTATTTCCAATGGTGATGGGCATCTTGTATAGAATAGCAAGGTATATCATAGCAGCTCAGAATCATTACCCAGTAAATCAAGATGTTGGATTTTGGTGTACCAACACATGATCAGCATGCGTGGTTCGTGCCACTGACGGAGTCATTGGGCCTGAGATGAGCCAAAATCCAGAGAATCAATCGCATAGCACTATCTGCCGTTTTTCTTTTGAAAAAGAAAAAATTAGCTTGGGTATGTGCTCGATGGTTTTGCTTCATCGTCGTTCGTCAGTTGATGAGCAATATAGCTGCCAAAAGAAATGACAGGCCCTTGACAGCTATGATACAATGGAAATAAGCTCCTACCGATCAGCCTCTATCAATGCATCATGTTTCTGGCCCATCAAAACACTTTGTATTGTTGTTATGATATGATTGTTACACGACAGAAAGGTGCGTAAATACTGTCCCATTCTATTAACTCTCTTTCTCTTTGCCTCTTAATCGTCAAGTCAAACATACAAAACGATAACTTTTGTTCAGTGCACAGACTTTGAATATACAATGTTATCACATTGAAGCAGGTGGCGCCCTTTTGTTTAGAGTCATTGCCTCTCATGTAACGAACAATGTCAAATCGGTGTCATCATTTGCTATGTAACCTCATTCTACGATGCAAGAGTAGTTGATGTCTGAATAAAAAAAAGGCTTGAATCAGCCGCCGTGGTGCTACACACACCCTCAGCAGCAGCGACTGATGCGACTTTTTGGTATTCTCATATGACTGCATATATAAAAAAGATTTAGGATTACGCACGGGTCGCTTTATGTGCAACAACAGGCACACACCTTTTTTTTTTATATGTTGTATAGCAAGAAGGTTTACCAACAGACTAAACAGCATGCGAGGGACCGTGTATTTGGGACCCGTGCGCCTCGTGGTTCGATAGAATGTGTAGTAGTCTACTAGTAATACTGTGCACATTATAAATAAAAGGGTACCTAACAATCGACAGAAGAGGATGGGGTGCATACAGAGGTAAAAAAAAGAACAATAGGCCCAGAACGAAAAACTGTTTTTTCTTTTCTTCGCCACATCGATCGTCGCAGCACTGAGTATAGATGCACAAGCGTATTTTTTTTGTGTTTTTTCTTGTTTACCAAAACATCTGACGGCTTCCAGGAAAAAAAGAAGAAGATGGCGGTGGCTGGCTAGCACTCCTTGAAACAGTTTTGCTAAGGAATACTTTTCGGACCCATTGACTGCGTATACACGTTAGAGTAGGAACCCACAGCACTTATAAAGTATAAGGCGCATAGGCATATACATCTTATACTGTACATAATACAAGGCTATGATGAGGCCTGATATCGCCCCCAAATGAGGGTAATCCGATACAGCTGCCTTTTTTGACCAGCACAACGCTGTTTGTAACCCCATGACAATAACAAGAAGATTTTAAGAATAGCGAGATTTGACAAAAAAAGAGTCTCCTTCCTCTCTCTTCTCTTCTCCTCTTCCTCATTGAAAACCTTTTTGTTCTCGTATTATCAATATTGTAGCCATCATCATCACAGTCAGCACCATCCACAAAAATCAACAACAGTTATGTCCGACTATGACCAACTCAGCGATTTTAGAAGACCACCCAGACGTTTTCACGAATACATGTATGATCCTGCTGAAGATGATGGCGTTTCTAGCGATCCGTATGAGCATCCAGAAGCGTCATCACGACTGCGTCGCCACGGAAACAAGATGCAACAACAACACCATCCTCGCCGTCGCCGATCCACATCACATAGATCTTCGCCTCGTCGCCGTCCTTCGACAGGCCCACCTCGTCGTCACAACACATGGATAGACAGTGGCGATATTGACGTCGACGAAGAGGACAACAGCGACGAATACGATATATGGAACCAGGAATTCCATCCATTGCCGCCATTGCCAGGAGCGCCAATGGGCCCCTATCCTCCACCAGACGCGGTTGATCTGTATGATTACGATCCTGAATTCGAGGAAGGCATGATGTTTCCCTTTCCTCCACCGATGCCGCCTCCACCGATGCATTACCATCCCTTCTTCCATGGTCTACCTCCACCACCATTTTTGCCGGGTGGTCCGCCAGAGGACATGTTTGACCAGGACGAAGAAAACGATTTGAACGATTTTCCAGTTGTACCACCACCTGGATTCTTGCCACCCCTTCCGCTGCTTGCTCCCGATCTTTCCGTACGACCGAAACGGGCGCGGTCACTTCCGAGCCGAAAACGGGCAGCAGGCCACCTGCCTCCTTCCTTTCTCACGCATGATGATGATGAAGAAGAAGAAGAAGATGACGATGAAGAGCTCTTTCTTCCAAGAATGGCAGGACCACCACCACCGCCACCACCTCATCTGTTGCCACAGCCCATACTGCGTCGAAACAGCACAAGTCGCTTAAAAAAGCGTTTATCATCCTTACGCCGGGCCAATTCAGTAACTTCATCACCCGGTGGCGGTGCTACTCGTCGTGCTGCTAGTAGCAGTATTCGACGTGGCTCTCTCCGACGTCAAGCCAGGAGCGCGCCTGGATCACCGGTTGAACTGTTTTCACCTACCATGGGCCCTGCAGCTCCAGAAGAGGAAGAGTTTCATGACGCACAGACACACCAAGACTTTGGCCAAGAGTCCGATGACGAGGAGGACGACGACGACGAAGAGCAAGAACGACGACGAAACAGTATACGCCGACGTCGATCATTGATGGGGAAAACACCAATGCCAATGCGACGTAGATCTATCCATATGATGCCTCCTCCTCCTCCTCATCAGATGGGTCCTCCACCACCACCACCACCTCCTCCTCCAATGGGTCCACCTGTCATGGATGGTGGGCATCGTTTGGGTAGACGTCATTCACTCTATGAACCAGGACCCATGTCTGGCGAAATGATGGATCATCCCATGATGCGTCGCATGTCTATTGGGGGTGGCATGGGCCCACCTCCTCCACCTCCCATGCCCATGGGGCTTGGTCCAGGTGCTGCAGCAGCAGCAGTTGCTGCCGCTGCTTTTGGTAACTCAAGGCCCAATATGGATCTCTCTGGCGATCATTCCGGGAGCAACAGCAACAACAACAGTGCACCGGGCACACCATGGATGCCAGCTTCTTATTTCTCAAGCCCGTCCGGCGGCGGTGCTGGTATGCCACCTCCATTACACCAACAACAACAAAGTACGATGCCAATGATGTCAATGCAACCGCCGTCTGCGTCTGTTTCTATGGGTATGCCATCGCTTGGTATGCCTCCATTGCCTCCTCTTCCATTTTCAGGGATGCCTCCACCACCTCCAGGCATGATGATGCCGCCGCATCACCCTATGGGAATGATGCCACCCATGATGAATGGTATGGGCGCAGGTAGCGCTGGTCCTCCTCCTCCTGGTATGGGTGAAAACATGATGGGTGACGAGCATAGCGATGACATGCAAGGACATCAAGAGCACGATGAAATGCGACATGGAGGAGGTCCTGGCAGCGGTCGAGGTATGATGAACGAGCCACCAATGAGCGGTGGTAGCAACCGAGGAATGGATCCATCCATGGGCGGCGGTGGCGGTGGTATGCACGGCGGTATGAATGGCGGTATGCACGGCGGTATGGGCGGTGGAGGAGGCATGGGAGGCCATCACGACGATATGGACCATGGTGGACATCACGGTTTTGGCGGTGGCAGAGGAGGCGACGAAGACGACGAAATGATGATGCACGGCGGTGGTCCAAGAGGCCATGGCGGTCCTGGCGGTCCTGGCGGTCCAGGAGGTATGATGCCTCCTCCTCCACAACACCAAGGATTCGGTAGTCCAATGATGAACGGCGGTCCTGGCGGCTTTGGTGGACCTGGCGGTAGACAGCCACTCGGACGTAGAAAGTCATGGTTTGGCAATCTTTTGGGCGGCGGAGGCGACAAGCCAATGGACATGCACATGTGGGACCGCAATTCAATGATGCCACTAGAAGAAGCCGTGCAACAAATGTCTCTTGGCGGCGGCGGTATGGGTGGTGGTGGTGGTGGCGGCGGTGGCATGATGGGGTCACCGGGCGATGGATCGTCGTCTTCCTCAATGCGATCCATGGGTGGTGGCGGCGTCGGATTGTCCAGAAAAAGCAGTAAGAAACTCACAAACAAGGCACAGCAATTGCAACAATTCCCTGGAATTTGGTGTTACCGACCGAGCGGCATGATGATGTTTCAACAAAACGGTGACGATGAAGCTGGTGGCGGAGGTGATAACGTCTGGGCACCCTTCAGTGTCAACAACCAGCGCAAGTTGCACCGTGCTACCCAAATGAACGGAGGCCAAACAACCGTCAACCTTGACAGGGAAGAAAAATTGCCTGGGAATGTTTATGTGTCGCCAAGGAACATGGTTGCTCACCACTATCGATCCATGTTTGGCAATCCCGAAATGCTCGAAATCCAATATATACCCACGCATGATAGCACTTTTATGGTGCGACCAGATAGCCATCATGATGAGCCCTCCATGGGCGGTTTTGGTGGAGGTCCGCGACGTGCTTCCGGTCCTCCAGGTGGAGGTGGAGGCATGGCAAAACTAATCAACAGTGTATTTGGTTAGACAGAAAAAAATAACTTGAGCCCTCCTGTTGTTGTACTTTAGTGTCACTTTATATGTACTTAATTCACCCCAAAAAAAGGTCAAGACCTATATCCAAAATATTATATCAAATAAATAGCCTGTGTACAAAGCATTCAATGCACTACTTTGATTTTCTGTTCGAGAGTATCCCCACTAGTAGTGTAATAACACAACATTTGTTTGAGATGTGTGTGTAATAATCCTTTGTCATCAAGAAGCTTAATATATTAGTTGCAGAAGGTCTGGCATGTGGTGCTTAAATCCGTGTCTGACGAATGGAACAAGCATTGTCATCAACATTGTTTATTCCTGTTTCAAGGTTTTCCATATTAAAAAGGCAGCAGCGCTGCTAAAATAGCAGATTCGCATCAAGAATAAGCGATCACACAGATATTAGAAACGTGGAGGGCAACATAAATAAAAGGAGCAAACAACAAACGTTTCTGGATAAGGTGGTTCCATAGAGCGATTGTTGAGCTAAAGATTGAGGTATGAAGCATAAAGTTTGCATATTTTATTTGCTATTATATCGATATATTTTCTAACATATGGATACACTGTACACAGAACTATTCCATGGAGCAACCAGAGTGGGAGGTTTCATGCTGCAATCATATACTTAATGTATTTTCTACTATGCACGCATCTTCTGGTACATAAGCGTAAGCGCGAACAATCATCAGCATCGGTATCCATAGCAGCATCGTCTAAAAGTATCTCATCATCCACAGCTGTCCCGCCTTCAACTGAAAGTACAGTACAAACAAGCGATTGAGTGATGTAGAATCGATTCGTTATGGTCGAAATATCATCAAATGTATACCAAATGTACATCTAATGATCCACTCTTAAACTAGAGAATAAAATTGACCGCATACCTTGCACATAATGCTGCGCCGGTTGTTACATAACAAAACAGAATAGAGAAGGTAACGTATTCTCTATATATATCATTAAGATCATATTGGTATTGAAGTTTGATACTGTATTGTAGCAGCGTCATAGCAGCAGTATCAGCGCAAAACAACAATAAAAACAAAAATTATGTTTATGATCTACTGCACCACGAGGATTATGAGGAGTAGGAACAAAAAGCAGTATGTAATCCATTATGACAGCAAAAGCAGCAAAACAACAAGCAATAGCAGAAACTATTATGTGTTCATCCATTCCGCTACGTATCATGGGTAATACATCGTTGCAAGCTCGAGCGTTGCGACAGTATTTTAGCAGTCTACATTGCGATTGTACATGCTATCAGAAGCAAATATGGGCAGACCTTTTTTTTTTGAATAGGCGTTAAGTCTCAGTCAGCTGTCGGTCGACCAGAATCTCGCTTTAGTGGATGCTGCTCCTGAGTATAGCTTATATCGTACGGACATCACCAAAAACGAAGTAAAGTGAGAAGGGAAAGACACAAAAAGGAAAGTGTTACTAGTAGTGGCAGTAGCAACAATACCAACAGCAGCAGCAAGAAGACGATTTTTCCAATGTTTGATGGCACTGTATACATTATTTTGCGAGACCATTCGGACTTTAGCCCCAAGAACTACTTCAACGTGTACAGTATGAGAGCCGATACAGGCTAATTTACCTCCTCTCATTGTGCGTATTGCGCAAACTGCAGATAGCTGGACCTGCATCTTATACATGCTTGCCTCACCCCATCATTAACGAAAACTGGCCAATAGTGAGCAACTCGCAATTTTTTTAATGTTTACTTGAACTCATCACACAGTTATTGCAAACAACAGAATAAAAAATTCACATAATATATCAGACAGAAAAATAAAAAGAATATGTGGATAATCTCTGTTTGAATAAGTATAGTGGTCCAAAAACAAGCAGCAGTAATTTACAATATAATGAGTCATATGTTGAGTCACCCAACTTTCTCTTCTAATGGTCTATACAGTAGTGGTTTATCGTGTCGATGATGATTATGATGCTTGAGTACTATTATAGTAGTCAGCGATAGCTTTGTTTTTCTGAGTAATAAATTCTTTGACACCTGTTAGGGAAATGTGTCCGGTCGAACCATCGATAGCTTTCTGGAACGGGACGTCTCGTTTAGATCGGTCACGGAAATCATGGACCGTATCATCATCGACGGCATATCCTTTCAATAATCCGAATGCCTTGGCAAAGACTGCAAGGTTGACTTGGCTGATAATAGCAGCTTTACTCAAGCGCTTGCACGACTTGTCCCAAGCGACGTCTTCAGAAATCATTGCGACGGTTTCATCAATAGTGCGGCTCAGCATATTGGGGTCAAGCAGACGATCACCGAGGTCTTTGATCAGCTCATCGAATCTCTGTACGAATTCGGGTACAGCAAGTAACTTGGCCATCAACGGACGCTTTGTGATGTCTCCGGCGAATTTATGCCAGTCACCAGTGGTGATTTTGGATTGCGCAATGAGGTTATTTGAGCCCATGCTGATATCGATGTCGGATATGATGAAAATGTAACGTTCCGATGACGAGCTCTCCTGGTAGAGGTAGAAGTTGTCGGCCATTGCCAAGTAGCCATCTCCAAAACCCATTACCATTTCAAGAGCCAATCTGTAGAGAATAAGATATCATAATACGACATTAACTTTTTATACATACTTTAGATAGACCAATGTAACAAGCATGATGCTTGGACATGAATATGATAGCTTACCCACGAAGAACACTCTCCATATCAAAATGCTTATTCCACTCAATAATTGCTTGTGTGGCATTCGTCGTTGGTGCTTCCGAGATAAACTTGGTGAGAGCAATCAAGGGCTTGTAACTCGGTTCGCCGACAGATGGGTCCTCCTTGATCTTGTACTGGCCTAAACTGTACTTCCATTCTTCTTCTCCCTCGTAACTCAAATCGGATACTCGGTTTCCCAAAATCTTGGCTTTGGCGTTGGTGAATTTACCCTGGTAAAGGTGGCCTTGGTCATAGCCTTTTTTGGTGCCGTCGTTGAATTCATTTCGTAACCATGGGTTCTTGAAGTTTTCAATGAAACCAAACAGACCGATCGGCTCGCTGTTGATAAATAGTCTTAAAACGAAAGAAACAGAAGGATGTCATTGTTTAGGATCTGCTGAAGCCATTGTTTTAAAAAGAAAAGAATTCATTTGTACCTGACATAAGATGAGTAAGTCGTTGTAACACCTGCAGCTGCTAGCATCTTGTAACCCAAATCTTCACGAATGTAGGATGGATCTGTCGCTAATGAGCGGAGCTTGAGGCGTCGGTAACCATAGAGATCCTGCTTTTTAGGAATCTTCAGATTGTAGGAGGATTTTGCAGCTTCACGCGAGAACCGACCAGAGATTTCGAATTCAACACCCGTGAAGGTTTGAACGTCGTCAATGCTATATAAAATCACAGCACGTCACTTTAGTATCCGGGATTCTGCTGTTCAGTTATTTGGCAAAGTATGATAAAAGTTACTGTGATTAGTTTACCTGATGTAAGTTACATTGGTCATCACTTGAATGTCGTCTTTGCTTTTACGGTGCATACGATCGATCTCATCCTGAGGACCCACGATATGAACGGTAGCGATTTTCCCAGGTCTGTGAAGGTTGGATTGCATCCGATGAATGTAAGGCAAAGGGTCGAGCACTTGAGGAATGGATGTGATGTCGTATGCGTTTTTCGAGCGATTATAAAATTCGTTGGGTGTATCGCCAGCATCTGCTGGTTGGCGGACGAATGGTTCATGTTCAATAACGTCTCTTTGTTGTTGTTGCTGCTGATCGGTTTCTTTTTTACTGATCATGGCATAATAATAACCCTTTTGTGCAGTGGGTGCTGAACCGGTGTGCAGAATGCTCGACTCAGGCGTCACGCTGAGGGGATAGGATTTGTCGTCCACTACTACGGCCATGGCTGTATCGGCATTGTCAATGCTCGAAATGACATGATAGTTTGTTGTTTGTTGATTTTGACCAACGACGGTCAGACCTAAAAAGGATAGACAGATTGTGGCACCTAAACAAAGAAAACATAAAAGAGAGTTGGTGAGCTTGTACAACAGACAATAATTGGTCTGCGTATTTATCTTGCAATATATGACATACAAAGAATAGATGGTTTGACGCGAGCCATTGGTATAATGACGATTGAAGAAAAAAGCAGGTTAAAGAATTGACATGCACCTTTATATATACGAACGACGCAGTACGCAAAAGTATCGTTTTTTGCCTCTTCTCCCCCCTCTGACTCTTCTTTCTCTTAACAAGTACTCCCCCAAAAAAACAGCCGCCATTTCTAAGAGTATCTAGCATTTTCGCAATTGCTCTCGTAAAAGTTAAGGTTTCATTAGTTAACGAAGACAGGAGTTCTGCATGTCATCCCTTTCTCATCCATTTATGTTTTTTGGAGCGTAGAAAAACCACGCAATATCCGTAAGCCTGGTCTTAGAGAACCCCCTGAATGAAAAACACATGAATCATAGCAGCAGTCGTCGTCGTCGCTGCCCACTAAGTAGGTGAATGACATAAGATATTATAGATGTTCTAAAATTTAGTTAGGAACCTGACTCTTAAAGAGACAAGAAACATGCCGGAGGGTGCTATTATTAAAAATACTGTGCTGCACGTACTGCGTACATATGCTCAGAGTCTATGCAATACGATCAAAACCTGCAGCTGTTGTGTGTTAATAATTATCAATCATTAGCCTGCAACACTATACTCTCCTCCTGCTGCTGCTGCTTATAAATTGCAACTAATCTTGATTCGTTTCTTATATCCTATTAGTTACATAATGCTACTGATATTGTCTGTATCAAGCTATCTTCAAAGTCTGGCTCGCTTAATAAAGACCCACTTATTTAGAGATTGGCTATTGTTGGTAAAACGGAATTAACAAGATTTGGCGTCATAACGATAGTCTGGTTGTGCACTGCTTTGGGCATTTGTTGTCACGCGTCGTTTAGACGTGGTTGGTTGGCTCAACGCATCAATTCCACGGGTTACAGAAATTCATCGGCCTCCCTTTCTTCTTTGGACCATCGCACGATTTGTGTATAATGCACATCGAGAGGCAGTAGTTTCGTTACACAACATGCCAAGGCATTTACTAAAAATGTTCCTGGACTGTGAGTACACATTTTGTACTCATGTTCAAGAGAGACTCTATAAACAGTCAGAATATGTGATTGGTCCACTTTGGTTGGCATTTGTTTTCGAATACACTCCTTAATATTAAAGTTTTTGTAAACTAGCATTAGGCAAATGCTAACGACATGATTGCAAGCATGGCTCATTATGTCGTTCTTACTGACAACAACGCGTTTAGAATTTACTCCTAAATGCAAAAAGGCATCTTGACAATTCTGCTTGGTTGCAGTCAGGAGATACCTCGGGTCTAAGCTCGTTGTTTGACAGCGGTATAATATACGATTTATCAAAACATTAATTTGAAGCACAAAACCAGACAAGAACAAGAACAAAGATTCATTAACCACGTGCAAGTGTTTCTTTGTCCGTATAGTTAGAGTTTTTCAAAAAGGAGAAAACTATGGTTTGTATGATGTTTTATGCCATCAAAAAGATGTTCTTCATATTCTAAAAATGAACTTAGTGTTTGTTGTTATCAGGTAAATGTTGACAGTGGCCCCTTTAAATTCAAAACTTAAAGTTCCCAATTTTTTTTGTGAAATGAAGGGATTGACGAAAGTCAACGAATACTAGGACAAACTCCCATGCACGGAGAATTCATTGAACAGACACATCTTTATGTCACAGATTACCAAACTTCAATAAATAGATCACGTAATTCACATAAATCTACTTATCCAATACATTTTACCTGGCCAGATTGACCTTTTACTCAAATATACTATATCACTTGATCATGTTTAATAGTTATAGCGAGTAAACTCATTCAATGCACTGGTTATGTAGCTGCCAGGGATAAACCATATCCTATGTATAGAGAGATGTAACTCGATAAGGTTTCAACTTGAATGATCCATTGAAAGTGAAATACGCGGGGATGTGAAATTTTTGCTACTGTTCCCGATAAGTATTTGGTGAAGATATTGAGGGTTGAAAGTTAACGGATGTCAAATAAAGGGGGGTCCACTGTATATGCCCTTGTACTGATGCTACTTGAAATTTGAAAAGTGCAATCAAAGATTGCTACTTGTTCGATATATGACACAGTACTTGCTTAGCTATACATGTAAAGTAATTAACTTCTCTTCCACGTTAATATGAAGTCTATAAATAATACGTTTATCAAATGATTGCTGGCCCTGTCGTTCCTTGTTTAAATAATATACACACACAGCTTGAGTGCATACAAGTGCGTGGTAATGATGGTTGCGGATGCAGTGGCATAAATATTACTTTTTAGGTGATGAGTCCACCATGCATATTTGGAACTACGGAACGATGAAGTGCTCATGAGCAGTGGCGCGTGTTGTTTCTCCTCCTTAAAAGCATAACATGTAATGATACAAAGGGGTTGTTTAGAACCAAAACATGCTGACTTAGGCCACCATGTTATGAAGCAGTGCGAAATGTTCTGCAAATACCCTATATTTGAAAATACGGACAGCGATATATTATTGATACTTGTCACTATTTCAGCTGCTTACGCGAATGATCTTGTCTATCAGGAGAAGTTAATTAATCACCTGGCATGTAATGACAACCATCAGACGCGCTCATAGTAGCAAATACAACTGAGAAGCTTACAAAATGTTTTTGTTGTCGTCGCAGATTAGCAGTCTTTGCTTCTAGCGGTACAGTAGATTGGTCACTTGACGTATACAGTATATATATATATATATATATATATCTAGTACAAGTGGCTCGTGCTGCATGATAACCAAAAGAGGCAGAGTGATTTTATCAATCTAAAACTCATTCAGTCTTGTAACTTGTTATGGTCAGTTTGACTCTTATCAAACATGCGTGTCTGCCGGACTCCCTTCATATCTAGATGTATATACACTGAGTAACATGACACATCGGTGACATCAGCATCAATAGCCCCAGGTTTCATATAAGCAACTGTGCGCAAAGCATGACAAGTGATAACTCTAGCGTGCAACTCAGAATGAGCTATTGATTCGTAAGCGCGAATCGTTTAACATCACCAATATTTCTGTAAAGTGTCAATCTACAGTAAAAATCCTGCATTGCAGGTTTGTTTACAGATGCGTATGCTCTATGTAGATAAACACTTCTATTACCTTTCGGCGCATGTCGGAATCTAGATATCACATATTTGTGGAGGTCATCATCCTTGTAGTTGCGCCTTTTGCATATATCATACATATATTAAAGAAGAAATTGCCATGCAAGCCTTTTGAAAAAGCTCGTAAATTATCATATTAATACACAGTATTATGCAATATAAACACATTTTGATACTGCTATGTGCGAGTGCTGGCGTGGAGTCTCGATGTTATTTTAAGATACTATTTTACTGTGCAGCGTTCGCCCATGTGTATATGGACGTTGTAGTAGGGTCGAATGTGTAGCCGGAACTCAGAAGCATTTCTTTCTACATCTGTGACCCTGAGCAAGTGAGAGATGGGAAGCTCCGAAACATGCTCATGGATATTTTTGCGACAGAAGAGCCCGATTCTAATCAAATTATTATATGTTCCTTTTGCTATCATAACAGTACAGCACTGCTGGTAGATTAGCGCATATAATATGCAAGTAAAGAACAATCCATTGGTACTGTCATGTTGGGCAGTAACATGACATGCGTTCGAACGTTTTTATTTTCTTTGTTAATGTCTGTGGTCACCACGACACTCCCATGCTCAGATACCGGCCTTTCTTGTGGCAAATGGCAAAGGGCCTGGCCGGCGCTAAACCGCGTCCTCAGGGAGATAGGCCGCCTAAGTCATCCTTTTCCCTCCTAGCTATACTGTACTTACACGTATAAACCCCTTGCATTATTTTTCGCCACCCACACAAGAAACCGACAAGCCGTTGAATGGGGAATGCGATCAATTCAGTCATCATTTCAGAGGTTATATCTATCTCTTAGTACAGATGCCACCTAACGTAAAATAATTTAATATATGATATTCAAATTATATAACTACCGAGTTTCAGAAGTACAATTAAGTCATAATAGACGCGTTTACTATGAAGCTTGGAGCGAACCAAACGAATAAAGTGAGCAACATGTCAATTCGGTATCAAATTCTTTTTGGAAGACCTTTGTTTTTATCCCTGCAGGATAAACTTTATTTTTCTTGTGTGACCATGTTTATTCTATCCGGTATAAACATTCTGGAAGTCATCCACTTGTAGAACTCAGCAGAGGATTTGCAGCACTAGTGTGTAAAAAGACATTATCGTTTCTCCGTGTCTTTTCATCTCTCTTTATTACACCATCTAGGGAACCTTTACTAAAAACAACATTAACATAAGGTATGCAGCACATGGTATTTAAAGAGCAAAATTATAAGTATCATAGCAAAATACAGTAGTGACAATGAAGAATAATAAGCATCATTAGACTTTGTTAACACAGTGTCAATCACAATCATCATCGTGAAATCCTATTCCAGCTTCAAAAAAGATGAACGAAAGTCCAGTTGGTAAAGAAGATATACAAGAATGGAGAGAAACAACAGCAAATGCGACGCATAATGACAATTGCCTTGAAGAGAGCTCGAAAGCAGTCGATGGCAAACGAGCATGGGTTGTTATTGGGGGATTATGGCTTTTGGCGCCCTGCACTAGTTTGAGTAGTAGCTGGTATGTCTTTTCAAATTATAAACAAAAGGTCGTTCGAAGATGAAGCTGCGGATACTTCAAAAAGCTACAGAAGATATTGATTATTTTACTTGTTCTCGTTTTCTGGAAATCAGGGGTATGCATTTGTAGAAATTTATATGAACTTTTGCTTTAACTTACCTTTACAAATGTCTGACTCTTTGATCAACACGATAGGCATTATGCTTGATTACTATCAAAGAACAAAGATGTTCATGTCAGAAGATAACTCGGAACTCAAAATGGTGTTTGTCGGTGCGTTATTCCAGGCTCTAATACCCGCTTTTATACTTCCGGCGAGTATATTATTTGACATATATGGGTTCAGAAAAGTAACAGCACTAGGGCTTCTATTGGTAGCTGCTGGTCTGGTATCTGGAAGCTTTGCTACTTCGGTAAGTAATTAATTTGTCGTTTTCTTTGCGTAAATGCATCTTATACAATAAACTAAAACCCTTTTGATCTGCTCATTTAATTAGATATGGCATTTATACTTGGCGATAAGTCTTTGTGTTGGCTTAGGCACCGGTATTCTATGTACAGTAGGTTACGACATTGTTGTTGCCGTATTTTAGTTATACAGCACAATATATTGACGTCCAAATTCCCATTAAATAGGTCGGTAGTAGAATCGTACCGCAATGGTTCGTAAAGTATCGTGCAACGGCACTGGGTATACAGGCAAGCTCAGTATCCATCATGGGGATCGTTACACCATTTATAATGGTTGCTATCAATGACACTCTAGGTGCACCTTGGTAAAATGCGTTATTCCCAACAGCGGTAGTGGTGACTAATTAGGAAAATAAATATATACTTATGCAGGACACTCCGAGTCCTTGGCTGCGCTTTGTTCACCATCGGCATTTTCAGTGTTGTTCTCGCCAAGGAGAATGTTCATCACCGGACAGCTACGGCGGGTGAAGCAAAGCACCATTTTAATTATATTGGTGTGCTTAAAAACGTTGACATGCTACTATGGATGATGGTTGGTCCAATTCAGGCCTATGCATCTTATATATTATATACGTTTCTGCCTCGTAAGTACAATGTTCTCGTTCTTAAACTTGCAATTTAGAAAAGGAACTTACAGTTAGTATAATATGTTTGGTAGCATATGCAACCTACGTTGGGCTCTCGAGCTTACAAGGCGGTGCCCTTATATCGACGATGTCAGCAATAGGAGTTGTCGGCAACATCCTTTCTGGGTAAACCACATAATCCAAATTTGAGTCAAAATGTACCATGAAGACTAATTATAACGCCATACAAAGGGTTTTAGGGGACAAAATTGGAAACCTGAACACATTTGTTTTGAGCATGACTGTGGCTTCTATCAGTGTTTTCTTGATATGGATATCCGCGCACAACTTTGCAGTATTGATGGTTTTTGTTTTGGCAGTGGGCCTGAATACCGGATGCTACTACGTTTTATGTAAGACGATAAGGCTGCTGTCAAGCTCTGCTAATATAACTACTACGATACTTAGATTTTAATTCTTGCTCATCAATTATTTCCTAGCGCCAGCAATAATCCTCGATATAATCGGCATAAAAATGTATTCTCCCGCTCTCGGCTTAAGCTATCTTGCATGCGTTTTAAGCATTGGTGGTCCTCCATTAGCAACCTATCTGAACTCCAATAATCATCACGACCCGTTCTTATATTCTAAAATAATATCCGGCTTAGGATTTGCCCTGTGTGCATTGCTCACTGTGATACTCAAATATCAAATGAAAAAGAGCTTGTTTTCAAAAGCTTAAAATTGTTGCTGCATGATAAATTACGCCGACTCGTGATTATGAGTGGTTTTATTTTTTTGGCGCAAGGCTCAGCCTTATCTTTTCTTCCAACTTGATACGTCTAGGAATGGGTTCGAGTGTCTCAAAAAACAAAATCACTTCACGAGACAGAGCCATTCTTGATCTCAAACTTCAAAGAGACAAATTAAAAAAATATCAAAAGGGTGTAAGGTTTTTTTAAATTGTGTGGGATTACAGTAGAATCAGTAATGTCGTTGGTCACCATTGAACAACACGACAACCCTTAACTTTATTTCTCCTTCTTCCCTCACACCCTTTTTTTCTTTCCCGCTCCTTTCCTCTAGATAAATGCAGTGCTTGAAAAAGAAGTGCAAGTGGCACGAACCGCTCTAAGCCAAGGCAACAAAAAGAAGGCGCTTTTGGCTTTAAAAAAGAAAAAGTACCAGGAACAACTTTTAGAAAAGACAGATCAGCAGTTGGTGAATCTCGAGGAACTGGTAATGAAGAGAAAAAGTTCTTTTACTCTCGACAAAGAGAACAAAAAGGAAGCTCAAGAGCATTCTGTTGATGCTTTTATATCTTTCCTGATACAATTAGACACAATCGATCGAATATGCAGTTGTTGAAAAACAAGTCCTGGATGGCCTCAAAAACGGCAATTCTGTGCTTAAGGAAATACACAAGGAGATGTCGCTGGAGGCTGTAGAGCGTTTAATGGATGATACTGCAGATGCGATCGCTTATCAAAACGTGGGACTAATAATCATTTCTTTTCTGGTTTGTATCTTGGGATGAGAATTGTTACTCACTGGATGTTTACATTTTTATCAGGAAATCGATGAGATGCTGAGCGGTCAGATCACGAGTGAAGATGAGGAAGAAATCTTACAAGAGCTCGAGAGTTTGCAGCAACAAGAGGTAGGGAACAAAGAAAGATACGGATACAGATCTATTTGCAAGAGGTATACATCTAATCGGGAAAAAAACAACAACTTATAGCTTGAAGCACAGTTACCTGAAATACCTGATAAGCCGATACCCGGTACTGAGCGTAAAGAAGAGGACAATTTACCAAAAGTTCCAACACACACCCCGAAAGAACAAGGTATAGGATGCTATATACATCAGGATGCAAAACGCATGTTGATCGATTGTTCCTAACATTTCTGTTCCTAGAAAAAGTCAAGCAAAAATCCGGCGAGGCAATGCTGGCATAACTATGACGCGGAGAAGAGGGAATTTTTTTATTTTACATGATATCGGTACAGTAGTTTTTGTAAAGGAAAATACGGGAATCAAGTAATAAACACTACAACGAAGTGCTACAGTGAAATGAAGCAACCGAGCTGTTATCGCTTGTTGCCAAACGTACGATCAAGACAGACTGCTGTCAACCTCAATAAGTTTTCTACTACATATTTTTTTGAGTTTGTTCAACTTGTAATGGATTTTTATACATATTTTAATATAATAATAAGAAGATACCAAGTAAATATATAAAGTAATTTAAAGCATTATAATGTATAATGAATTGCAGATAATAATCTCTAAAGGAAGAAGCAATTAATAAGAACACACAATAAAAGACAGGCTATTCTATGCCAGCAAGAGAGGTAGGGGTTAGCGCAGAAAGTAATTGGGCCGCGCAGATGGAATGAAAGCAACAGACAATGGCCTCTTGTTCGTAGGTGGAGCAGCAAAGGCTACGTTCTGACTGAGCGACTTTAACATATCTCCTTTCCTTTGGATGTTAGGATTCCTCAGACTAAGTGCTGGTATCTTCCGTCGCTCCTCTTCTTCGCGTTCTTTCCAATGCTGCCATATAGCTTCATATTTTGTGCCACTGAATCTACAAGGCGAGTCGGATTCATCATCGATATTGCTGGGTGTGTCGGCTGTCAGTGTACGTCGCAGTGGGGCAAGGGGTGATGACCACATGTCCAACGAGCTTCTTGTCGGTGGCATAGCAGCAGCTGGTGGCGGTAGACCCATATCAAATCGATGGCGTGCTGATCTTGATACTACTGTGGCTGCGGATGATGACAATAGCGGTGGCGACATTGGTGGTGATAATGATGATGATGATGATGATGATGATGATGATGGTGAGCTGACCGAAGAGACATTAGGTTCTGGGCCATTGATCAACTGGCCAGGTGCCGGTAGGTCTATTGAAGGGGCTAGCGCTCGTGAAGGAGATGTTGTTCTTGTTGGTGACATGGTTATTTTTAGCTCCCGAGCAATGTCAGGAAACATCGCAAGCATGCTGCCAAAAATATCTTTGATTCTCTTGACTTTTGGCGAGGATAGAGAGCTAGTAGATTCTGACTTTAGGCTGTTACCGTCGTCAACTATATTTTCCTGTATGGACGCATTGTTGTTGTTGTTGTCGTTAACGTTGCTGTCGTAAGAAAACTTCGGAGCATTCTCGATCATGAACTGGAAAAATTTATTCCAGCGGGTGTTGTCCTTAATCAATTCAAGTTGTAGCAGATTGTGTGGTGCGTATTTCGGCATGTGCCGTTGCTGTTGATGTTCTTGTAGCTTATGCGACTTGCTGGTATTGTGCATGGATGTAAAGAGCGGCTGCAATCGATCCTTCAATGAACTCTTCGACAATATATCGCAGGAGAGTGTCGTCTGCGATAAGGATGATTGGGGGATTGCTGCTGGCTTGCTTGCTCTCCGTAGCGATAGAGTACGAAACATCTTTACGGGTTTCTGTAAAGGCGATGCTTTCGCTTTGTAAATGTTTCCATCGCTGCTGTTCGAAAGTAGGTGGCTCACGCCGTCAAGTCGTACACAAGTTGGCGCTAAGATAATTGACAGGTTTTCGGGCGTCATCTTGTTGTGGTCGGCATGATTACTGACACTATGGGCAAACCGGATGATAAAGCAAAGCAGGATCCCATGAAAGTCTGGCAGTGATTGACATGCGGCATTGATTCGACGCACTTTTTCTCGGACATCTTTGAAAGAACATTTAGAATGTCAGAAGAACGGAAAAGAATAGGAAAAATAGTCAGTTTATTTGTCGAATTCAAATATATGTTCTTACTATATTAGCTGATGTTCTACCCACCTGGTGTGCTTTCATAAGCATTCAGCAGCTCCGGCTGAAGCAGTTTGGGGATCACAGGCTCGGAAAGTTGTTGAAGATAGCGTTTGAAGAGGCCTGTGAGTGTATGCACGGGAACAGTGCTTAGATCAATGTGGAACGGATCGTCAGCCGCTGCAAATTCCTTTAGGAGTTTTTCAATTAATGCAGAGTTCCCCGAACGACGAAAAATTCCTTCAGTGGAAAGGCCTTTTTTTATTTTTCGCGTTAGTCTCCTCTATCAAACGGATCTTGATGTTGCCCGAAAAAACGGAAAGAGAAAGACGTGATTACCTCGTGATTGAATTTCCTGACTGCAATTAACTAGCAGCGCAGGAATCGCTACATCGTTCCGAAGCCTCTCAAACGACGGCGATTTAACGGGCGCAAAAGAGCAGGTCGAAGAAGGCTTGTTGTTGTCGATGGTTTGAGTTGCTGCTACACAAGGCAGAGATGAAGACGAAGGCGGCTTTTGCGCACGAGAATGCCAAAAGTTTCGACGCAAAGATTTCCTTAAATTAGGCATGTTGTTTTAAAAGGAAAGAAAGAAGAGGGCTGCTCGATTCAAGGATGTGTGCGTTTTTGCTTTCTGTCGGTTGAAACGAAAACATAACATTGATGCAATTTACTAATTTGGACGATGTTTATTCTTTGCCCCTCGCAACCATACACGTGATTCTCTCCGCTCTACTGTTGCGTGTGTGTGTGTGTGTGTTGTATAAACCCCCTCCCCCTTGCTTGCTCATTAAACCCAAATATGGCACCCGTCATTCTTCATGCCATAATCCTGCAAGCGACATCGCGTTCAATGATATTTCGGAAGTGCGCCACTTGCAAAAGCAGGATTGTTGGCATCGCCCATAATCATGAATTACGATCGGCTGGCGTTCTATATTACTGCGTGGAATGCAACAAGGAGGTAGACGAGTATCAGTCCAACTACGAGCTCCCCATGACTGTCAGTGTTTTGAATGGCGAAAAAGTACAAAACATTGTAGCATACGATCGAGCTGTCGAGTTGCTCTTGGGTTGCAATGCTAATAGACTGGGCGAGGTAAAGCCATGTCGCTATAGAGTATCAGAAACGTGTATATGTTGATTGGCGCGCCTCTAAAAGTTTTATACACGATTTTGTTTATTATTTAGCTTATGTTGAAGGATACCGCCATACTCGATGAACTTGAAGAACAATTGATAGGAACGAGGTGTCATCTGGTCATACGCCAAGAAAAGAAGAAAAACAAGGGCAAGAAGGTAAATTTGGGATGGGGAAGAATTGTGCAATGTTGTATGGTTATTAACGCGTATCTCTGTATAGAATGACAGGACAATCGTGGAAGCAATTATACCAGCAAATCCGCTTTTCATGCCCCTGTTTGCGAACAATGAAGTTGAGAGTTGGGAACCGTGATACGGATTGTATACCTCCACTTACCGCATGGCGACCTCTTTTACTTGACGTTCACAATGCAATTGAAGGGCTTTTACCTCAACGATTGACAATCCGGGACGTTTTCTGAGAAGTATATTGTAACGACATTGATTTTGTATACGACAATCATAAAACCCTAGTATGCATGTACACAAGTATAATCTGTGTATCTGTTCCAGATTATCATATACGTTACTGCTTTAATAAATTTCCTGAGTCACAGCGTTGGAGTGTGGCTAAAACCCAAAGAAAGCAAGTCCTATCTATTCTCTGTCTCAGGCTTTTTTCCCTCTGATGAAGTGTTTTATTCAACAGTTTGTGATGCAATAAAGACCAGATTCATGATACAGTCGGTGATCTTTTGTTCTACTTTTTTTGGACTCGCCTATGTACACACCAGTCAATTTTTTCCAAAGTATAATAAAGCAAAGTGATTGTTTTCGTTGGTTGCTTGCCAATAATGACATACGGAATTATTTGTTTTTTTAATCATATTGAGTGTATGGTACAAGCATAGAAGATGTTAACGAATGAATTTGGAGGAAGACAAGAGAGATGGAGGCATAGGTGTATGATAAAGGCATAGAAAATGTTAAGGTGTGAATTTCGAGGAAGAAAAGAGAGATGGAGGCATAGGGTGTATGATACAGGCATAATAAATGTTGAGTGACTTTTAAGGAAAAGAAGAGAGATAGAGGCATAGGTGTGGTACAGGCATAGAAGATGATAAGGAGTGAATTTGAATGAAAGGCATAGGTGTGGTACAGGCATAGAAGATTTTAAGGAGTGAATTTGACGGAAAGAAAAGAGAGATGGAGGCATAGGTGTAGTAGGCATAGATAATGTTAATGAGTGAATTTGCGGAAGAAAAGAGAGATGGTGGAAACATTGAGAGATGAAGGAAAGAAAAGTCATATGTCGGTTTCGGTATTTGAGGTGCCTTGGCTTTTTTCTGGGTGACATGACTTAATGACATATTGTTGGCGGATGGATTCTCTTTTCTTAGTTCGGCAGAACTGGAAGCATAAATCTGCATTTTTTGTCAACATAGACTGCATGGTCACATTAGCGATGTGTTATGACACTGTGAGCCATATTCATTGTACTAAATAAATAGAATAAACTTCCTCGTCTAAAAATCTTTTACCTGCATAGTACCAAGTGCCTCGTAGCAGCTTGACAGAACGACGAGATCGTTGCCGTCTCGCGGAATGTAGAAGACGGACAAGGGTATCAACCGATATACGCCTTGGTACTGCAGATCCATCACAAACAAAGTGCTCCGGAATCCTATGTATGATTATACCACAGGTTACGAATTGCAACCTTTATGAAATTTCCCTCCGCATTACATTGCTTATTCGATGTAGCTCACCTTCGATCAGTAGGGCTAATACAGCGATACTCGGATCGTCCATGCCATCTCCGACCGTCTGGTCCAACGAGTCCTTCATCTCATTGGCAAGTTTAATGAGGTCGTGTCTACTTCCGCTGCGCACCTTGATCGGCGGTTTTATCTCGACAAGTAAGAGGCCTTGTGTTGGCATTGCGCCGTACTCGAAGTTCATCGACAAGTCGGTGAACTGAAGGCTTTTGGTGTCTTTGCGCGGGGATTTCTCGTCGGTTCTAAGCGCGAGTAGAAAAGTTGAACGTATTAGCACGCTAAAAAAAAGCTTCCCACTATGTCATTAACTGTTTTGATATCTTACCCATGCAACGTCAACAAGTCAGTTTCGTCCAGAAATGCAAGCATTAATGGGTATACAGCGGAAATGGAGAATGTGCTTTCGAGTGTGTCGGTCTTTCTTGAGGATTTTGGGGAGTAAAACTTGACACTAGAATTGATGTATATGGATAATTAGCTTGTATACACACAAACACATCGAATTGGACATTCAGGTTACGCACATGCTACCAAGTGATTCTCGAATATTGCTATAATCTTCGTTGTCATCATCGATAAGTGCCTTTGCAATGGTGCTCCATTCGTCATAGTTCTCTCTTCCAGCCTATCATCGTTTATATGTTAACTAAGCTATCAATTTTTCTTCAAGAGGTATTTATACCTCGGCAAACTTGTAGATGGTAGTTTTGGACTTGTCTAACAATCAGAGCAAAGGGTATAGAACCTTGCACTCTTCAATGACACCCGACCATGTCACATCATCAAAATTGTACTCCAAAGACGACTTCGGATGTACACTGTTCACTTTATCAAACAAGAAGATGCAATTGATATCCCTATAGATACAGGTAGCTCAACGAGTTATTGTATGTTGTCACATTTGTAGCTAGTGAAGCTGTAACTAATTACTTACAACCCTTCTTAATAGGTATCCAGCATGGCTGCTTCACTTTTCGCTATCGCTAACTTTCGGTACTCAAGCAAAGCTTCGGATACATTTACTTCTTTAAATTTCCACTATGATATCAGACATTAGTATCAGCTTCATCTTCAAATATATATAAATTGTTACCTTCTCTATTCCATCTTGTAAAGTGACAAGCGGCGCAGCATCATGAGCAAGAAATGTCATCAATTTCTTTCTCTAGTTTAAAAGTGAATCATTAGATATACATTTAATGATATGTCAACAGTAACATATAAATACTACGCTACTTACTCACTTGGTTGCACATTCAGTTGATGACGGGACAGGTATGGACGTCGGGACAGGTGTGGATGGTGCGGCAGTGGTGGACGATGATTCTGCTATGGACCACGATGCTGATGTTTGTTCGTGCTTATGCTTACTAGAAAATATCTGTTTAGTATATTTTATATTAAGTATATGATTGATGCATGGAAGACAAGGAGATGATACTTGTAGATTATATTTACCCTTCTCTGAACCTCATCCCAATCTGGTTGCTCCACGGAATAGTTCTATGTGTATCCATACAGTGGTTCCCCAACAGGGGGTCTATGAAGTGTTGAAACTACTGAAGGCTGACACAAAACGAGGGTGATTCAAGCGGTGTTATATGCTTAAAGGAGGTATAGCAAAAAGTTGATATGACTGAGGGTTTATCTAATTTGAGAGTGGAATTAAACGGGGAACCACTGTACCAGAGGATGTCTGTATAGTAGAAATTGCATTAAGTACAGTAAATGACTGATGCATGGAACACAAGGAGATGATAACATTTATACCACTCTCAATCTCCTTCCAGTCTGGTTGATCCATGGAATTATAGTTCTGTGTGTATCCATATGTTAGAGAATATATCAATATAATAGCAAATAGATTATGCAAAACTTTATGTTTCATACCTCGATCTTTAACTCAGCAATAGCTTCGTGGAAGCACCTTAACCAGAAACGTTTGTTGTCTGTTCCTTTTATGCTATTCTTGATAATAACATCTGGAGCAGCAGCGTGGAATCCCTTGAAGAGACTACACCTTTCTGCTCGGAAAGATACTTTCTGAATCCTAAAGTAATCAATTAGTACTACGCTCAGTTTACTGTGTGCATTACAACTTACGCTCTGTGAAGATCTGTTTTTCGCTATCCATGGCTATTGGGGAAGATTGGACCATAACTGAGCAATCTTGTATCGCAGCAAATCCTTTTCAAAGCAAGCAATGACTGCATCTGTGTTTAAACACAATCCGTCGTACAACTGGCCTGCTTTATTACTGTATTAACCATGATCAGGGCCACCTACCGATTTATACAATCAGCCACATATTCTTCCATTTAGTATTTGATATCTGCGACCGTGATTTATACTTGTAGCAGTCTTGCAGGTACACATAGTGTTTTATAGTAACTGCATGAAATTACTATATACGTGGGGCAAAGCGCATTTATAAATTACTGTAGGTGATTTGCATAGAATTAGAATTATGGTTAAACATGAGTCGTATTCCAATCCTCGGGTGCTTATTACCGAGATCATTGTATATACAATCATCGATGTGTATATCCACGTGTTTGCCATTCATATCGTTCTCGCAGGATGAGTACTTGACTATGTTCCACCGCGACGATTCTGCATCCACAATCCACCTTTTCTTGTTAAATGGGTTATACAATACTGGAGCCAAGCACAAAAAAAAAGCTGTAGAGAAGATGCAATGCAATAGTTGCTTTTCTCTTTTGAATAAGTAATAGATGATACATTCATTTATTAATTGTATGTGATAGTCAGTTTGCCATTCTTTAGATTCAAGGTTGAACCTTCGGAAACCAAAGTACAATCACTGATAAGTAGCTCTTGGATGGTTGTTTGATTATTATCAATCAACATGGACAAACCAGCTTCGGTAATACCGTTGCATCCAGACAGCACTATTCGTTTCAAGCTTCCCATGCTCGCACTGAGGCTCAGGAGCGTGTCATCCGTAAGGTTATGATACTGACATTTCGAAATGTTAAAGACTCGAGTGCACTGCCGCTTTTGCAGTTCGCCAAGCTGGATATGCCTTCTGCAGACAAGGTCGAGGTATCATAGTACTCTGAATGGTCGAGTTCGAGTCGTCGCACGCTTGATAGATCCTTGAGTCCGTCAATAATTTCGTCATCTACCAGCACATTTCCTTCGAACGATAATTCTTCCAACCGGTTCGGTGCAGCCAATAAGCGTTTGAACCCAAGTAGAGTCCAGGTTGTGAGAACGCTTGGTTTTTTCACGTTAACAGCCAGTTTGCGTAGCCGCGGCAATGCTGCAAGTGCGTCTGCCACATCGTCATCAAAATCCGTCTGTTCATAATCGAGTACGATCTGGTTCAACGCCTCGGACCGTCGCAACAATGTACCCAGAGGCTGGTTCCACAACACGACCCTGTCAGATGGACCGACTCCAAATGTTCCGCAAGTATCGCCTGTAAACCTGACCAGCTCTTTTCTTCCTCATCATAAATTCTGTAATTGCCCGCAATGCGTACACTTTTGAGGGTATCCTGATGCTTTTTGAGGAATGGGACCATCTGTCTTGCTCCGTATCCGCCAATCTCGGCCGAGATGAAATGGCGCAGACCCCTGGATCGTCTTGTGCCACAACTTCGTGCATATGCTTCCCATGTTGCCCCTTGTTGCTGTGAAACGACAGCTCCATGGAACCCGAGACATTCTAATTCTGGACACAGGCGTGAGCACATGTCGAGGTCGAACATTGTGGGTACGAATTAGTTGACGACAAGACATTTGAGCTGTGGACAATGATGTAGGATCGCGCCAAGTCTAAAGTCACTGTATGAGCCAGTGTTGAGGCAGAGGTATTTGATGGATAGCTGAAGAGTATCTGGAAGTAGTTTGGATGATACGCGCGAATAGGTATGGTAGTCAGGACGGTCGCTGAAATGGTAGGTATAATGTGTAAGGTTGGGGCACGACGCCATCATATGCATTGGCGACAGCCGATAGGGATGATCTTCAAAGGAAAGTTCTCGTAGCGTGCTTAAAAAGGGTCGTAATGCTACTTGGTAAACGTCTTTGTGGACCACTTTGCAACATCGGAAAACTAATGTATTCAAGTTGTCAGAGTCCTGTCAGAATATGCATGAACCAAGAGCAATTTTTTCCAATTCCTATTTTTTGTTACCTATGGACTGGATATCGCATGTATATTCAAGCAGGGTAGCAAGGAACATGGAAAGTTCGTCTCTGCTAGATGCAGATAAAACAGCTTTGCGGACGTGAGGACCCAGACATCGCAGGAACCGCTGGTTCTTTAACCGCTTGTGACGGTCACCAGACACCAGTTCAGCTGTTCGCCACAAGTGTGTGCAGTAGATTGCGGAACGCGTTCGTACCACGATTTGGAAACAGACATGATTTTGATGCAGTCATCTTGTGTAAGGTATGAAAAGATTTCGCTGACAATGTCAAATGGAAGCGCCTTCATAAAGCGGATAGTAGATCGTGTTGTAGTAGGTTCATACATGGGAATGGTATAGTGGTGGTAACTGGTGACTATTTACAAAAGACAGTGCGTGTGTGTGTATGAGAGTTGGGAAGAACAAGGGAAAAAAGGGAGGAAACATTTTGCATGTTTGTATATGCCTTGGATGCGAGCTTCTATGGCGTACGATCTGTTTCGGGGCAGTTGCGTATGAAAAGCAGGTGAAGACACTGAGTGATAAGGTGCAAGAATCAATTTTACTGGTGCAAAACCACCGTCAGCCTTGGAACAATTAACCACTAAAGAGCATGATCACTATTCTTGTTGCTCCCTTTATGCGTTTTCATTTTGGCACGCCACTTCCTTGAACGTGTGACCAACCAATAAAATTTCAGCCTCCACCCGGCTCATACAAAAAAAAAAAAAAACTAAAGAGCATGATTTCACGTTATCTCTCGATTTATTGCTGCCGACAACATGTTTCTCAAGCTGTCATTCAAGCAACTTCCTTGCTCTTCCTAGCCATATCGTTAACACGACGTGGAAATTTAAATACTACACTTTCTAAAGCTGCCTTTCTACAGTAGATCTTCAGCAGAAAACTATTATTTATATCATAGCAACTCTGACTCTTTCCCCAGAGTATGGGCATCGCGGAGATTTTCGAACAACACTCTATTCTTCCGACTATCGATTGTTTAAGCATCATCATGCGACTCCATGTACGGCTTTAATAAATACGGAAACCATTATTCACCATATATTGATGCAGTTACTATCCTTTTTGAAGAGAGCACATCTTCAAAACTGTCGATAATGATACAAAGACACGGTTTACTATCTCTCTTTAATGAGTCGGTCAAGAATGAAAAGCTTGTTGCTAATAGCGATGATGGGTAATATTACAACTAATGACAAGTGATCATTAGATTCTATTTGCGGTGATGAAAACCTTTTTCCATTGCTTCGTTCGGCCGTGACAGTTCTCGTTCATTTACATATTGAGTTAATGTCCGCTATGAATGTCAGTAGTATCAGCAGCTCATGCTCCAAAACATCCTTGATCATTTGCTTACTCTATTGTTGATAGTTGACTTTTTCCTTAGGGGACCAAGTTGTTCTCGATGTCATGCTGTTATTCTGGATAACATGAAAAAGCCATCTCCGTTTTGGATAGGATACTTGGTACTACTACGTATTGTGAATTTTTAATGATATTCCTTTCGGCAGCAGTTGCCTTTGGCTCAATCTGAATCAGATTCAGATACCAATGATTATATAACGAACACAGTTCGTGCTGTTGTTTTCTGCTACTCTTTTTTACGATTCTCAATGCAGCTTCTTGAGAAATATTCAGGTCATCGTTTGACGCTGCTGCATGGTTCGTTGTTGTTGGTCATGTTGGTGGATTTCGATTCGAATGTTTGCTTCATCGATTAAATCTTTCCGTCGTGACAATTTTCAAAAGGTGCTGTCTCGTACTATATATTCACCACGAGGGTGTATAGCTGCTGTTATTGTGTCTGGCGTAAGTGGGGTTTGTGGTGTGCACAACAAGAGCCGATGGTGATTGATCGCGCTCTCGATGAACAAGATGTGGTTCGTTTTCATATGTCTTTGCGACCGGCGGCAACACAAACGTTGAATGTTGCACGATCGGCGCTCTCTTGGTCCATCGCATCCTGTACCCGAACCAAGTCCCTCTTGCAGACAAACCTTTAGCTCACAAATTTTTCAAAGCTAACAAGAAGACCTCATTTCAGTTGCCACGAACAAGTCATGAGACCTGGGATTTGCGTTTGATTGTACGACTATTGGAATTTTGTGGATTAAGTGCAGACTTGGACTTGGATAAATTACAAAAGAAAAACGGCTGTACTTTTGGCAATGGCGACGGACATTGGAAATTTACAACATCGCGATGTGGTTTTTGATCAAGATGGCTCTCATCAGGTCGTCGGCTGTACTTTGATCGCGCGGTTTTCCAAAGAAGTTACCGGCAAGGCATCCAAACTTCGCAGTGTTGTCGAGCATCCGAACATGCGTCCTGTACGCACATTATATTTGTTTATTGAACGCACTCAACATTTTCGCCAGCTTTTACCTGTAGATCATAAACTACTTTTTGCTGATTTCAACAATGACATCCGGCGGCGGCCGGTTTCAACAGCGACGGTAGCTAACTGGATGGAACAAACGATGGCGGCAGCTGGCATCGATACGTCAGCTCACAAGGCGCATTCTATTCGCGCGGCAGCAAGCACGTATGCAGTTTTGGCAAGACATCCAATGGACGAGGTCAAGGCTCACGCTAACTGGAGTTTGGCCAGGCCAGCGCGACTTTGAAACTTACTACTCCCAACCATATGCTCAACATGCTCGCGGTGCTCGTTTGGCACAGACGCTTTTTTCATCGACTACGGGGAATGTACCCACATCTGAGAACGGAGGGAAGCAACAACGATTGTGCTAGATTCGGCGCAACACAATCGAGCAGTTGCTGGGACGGTGTCAGAGGATGTGGGTTCCCGCCCTTGGTTATCAAGTTTAAATGCATTTTTAGATCATAGAATTATCTCGTTTATTTTGTATCCGCCTCCACACCTCATCATGATTAATTGGCGTAGCATGGACGGAAATTGAAACTGCATAAATGGTCGCATTAAAGCACAGGTGTTTTTGCCCCTTTTGGTTTTTAGGCGTTCTATACGGAGTATGAAAAGCCTTTATGAAATTGGTTCGTCCGTCCATCCGTAACGCTTTTCGTTGTTATGGCAACCGTGTTACATCACATATCTATGGTCAAACATCAAAGCTATTTCGGCATTGAATTGTTAATGAACAATACATGCGACTATAAATACACGAGCGAAGCGAGTGTTGCTTAGGGTGCCGTAGAGTTAGTGTTGTAAGATTGTGGAAAGCAGTGGTGGGGAAATAAACTTTTTTCATAATTATCTAGTTTTCTATATGTCTGTATTCCTCTTATATCTATGTTGTGAAGAAAATCAATGAGCTGGGAGCGTATGGGTGGTTGGTTGGGTGAGTGGTGGTGTGTGGTGGTGGTTTTCTAACACAAAACGAGAATTCGGAGTATAGAACACCGAATAGGGATTCAGCACTGAACCTTCCCTCTTGACGTGATTTTTGGCTACCACTAACCAGGCAACGTCGTTCATCCTGTCAAAATCTTGTTACCATGGCAACATATACAGGACAATCAGGTACGGCGCAATCTTTTATTTATGCGCTAACAAACAGCATAGTATTCATTATTGTCTTTTACAGAACTGAGTTACTATATTCGCAATTGTAAAAAACCGTGCTTGTTGGGTTTCCTTGTCAAATACGCTGCGCAACTGGCAGACTTCTCAATCTCCACTGCTATTCACTCACCTGACACGTACTTCAACTATTGGAGGACAAGGTTCATCGCAGAAGTGCGTGCTATACGACCTGATCTGCATATAAAGTAACAAAGATTGTATTGTGGATTTTTAGATCCCAGAAGGCGCTTCGTTGACGTGCGCTGGTTGCAAAAATGTGTCAAAGCATTCAGTTTTCGGTGTCATTTTAGTGAATCCAAAACATAGTAGTATTGTATGGCCAGGAGCTCTCAAGCAATTATTCGTACACAACGAATGTGGTTTACAAGCTCGAGACGGCTCTTGACACAGGAAGCTTACCCAATAACAACATCAATGGCATCGCTGTCGTGACCGACGCACCCAGCTCTCACATAGCGGCCCATTGTCAATTACGTGGTGCTCGTCATAAATAAGTTTGCTTATCATTCTTCGCGCATTAGAATTACCTTTATATATAGTCATTATTCTTAAGGCATTCCTTGTTCTTCAAAACCGCATCAAGGAAGCTATTAAGCTGATCGAGACCTTCAACTGGTCGGCCATCTTGCTACAAGACAAGCAGGAGCAAGCAGCCCAGCCATCACCTTCTACAGCAACCATGTGTCATAAAATGTAACGTACTTTGATGCGCTTGATAGCTTTCTCAGTGCTAACATGCACTCAAATAAAAGCCGAAAGATAATGTGTATATTCGGTACGTTTTTTTTTTTTTGGCTTCTGGCTATCTGTATACGTGTATTGAGCGGTATCACACTATATGATTGACGCGACACCACTGCAGGTCAACGGTTGGTGATTAATGCACTCTTTTTCTGTCATCATAATAGCCATTCTACAGATGGTTCCCTGTCCTCCTGCAATCTCACATCCTTACGTTTTCTTGTCTATACCTCTTTCATCACGATACGTGTAGGCAAATAAAAACTGACCCAAGGTCACCTACAAAGAAAAACATTCTACAGATGGCAGCCGAGAGCAAAAAGGTATTCAGGTATGTCTGGTTTTTTCTGTTAGCTACTCGCTACAAAGCAAATCTTACACCAACACTCTTTATACCCTCTATGCTCCCTGAGCACAGAAATTAAGCATGGCAATCTGTTGAACTTGGTGGCAGGACTGGTGTACAAGTACAAGGTGATACTAGCCTTCACGCCGCTGAGTGCGGCATCAATATACAGAGCCATATCAGTGAAAGATAGGATGCTTATGGACATACACCTTCTGTAGTATTACTGAAGGATACACACCACTTACATATGTCAGCACTTGCAATGTTGACTCTATCTGCAATGCGATGATTGCTGCTAGAGAGAGGCAGTAATATTAATTCTACCTTATTATGTAAGGAACGTTTAATGCACGCACCATGACAACTCAAAGACGACCATGATGAATATGACAGCATACAAAGTAAGCCAACATTAAAACCACCAATATGAGATGATTGTATGTACAAAAACATTAACGGACCTAAGATGGTCAACACCAGTATTAACTAATACTTTTGATAATGATGTCAGAAAAACTCATTATCATACAAACTTACAAGTGATATATTTAATGATATACTGCCATGCTGCATGACAGACTGATGTACTTTGAATATTTGTACTGGCGAGATGAATAAAGTGGCGGATGCGTGTGAAAGTGTGTTGCTTACAGATGAGTGCTTTTAAAAGTAGAAGTAATGGAAAAATGTGGTTACGATAGACTCTTATTCAGAAATCTCGTTAATTGACCGTTTGCGCGACTTTGGAGTAATGACTACTGTGGGAGTCTTGATTCTTGCAACATTGGAAGTGTCTTTTACAATGCCGCGAAGGGCGCTTCTTCTTCCAGGTTGTGAATCGATTTCGGTCGCCAAGCGTAGCAGCACATGCTATATCATATAGAAACATTGATGTTTTATTCGCGACTCATGTTTGTTTGCTCAAGGTTAACGCCGCTATGTATTAATTACCTTCCATTTGAACATGAAGTCAAGTGTTTCCCTGAAGAGTTTCAGTTGCGTGCTGCGTTTAGGTACCATCAAGTTAGCGTATGGATGTGCCACGAAAATACCATCTCGGAATGAAAGGATATACGCGTAGCCATCAACACCTATGGTAAAAAATTATCAGGTATAAAATAACGGCAAAGACTGGCTGTCGCATTTTTATATATAAAAAACCTACTAACCGGTCCAGTCCATGGCCACCACCCACTTTGAGCAGCCCATGTTGATCAATCTCGATAGAATTGTTGCGTTTGTTCTCAGGTTTTTTGCTTGTTGTTTGAGTGTGACGGAGTCACAAACGCCTTCACGTTTCCACTTATTGCTGCAGAGATCGTACTGTTCACCATCCAAAGTAGTTGCAGCGAGAAGGTCAATCTTACTTCCATATGGGTCAGAACTATTAGATCTCAGGAGGAAACCAGCTATAGCTTGGAGCATGACCATTGAGTCTTTCGTGGTTTGGGCGACACATTCCCTGCTAGGAGGCCATAAAAAACGATAAATCAGGAACTCGCTTGACATAACTGTCACTTCATCTTCTGTCTCTGTAATACTTACTTCTTCATACTAATCGGTGTTTTTCTAAGTAGACAATCTAGCAAGACAGCAAAACGACGAAATACTGTTGTCTCTGAAGGTGATGGTTCGTCCTACCAATCATCGAATTGTGTAATCCTATATGTTTATGCGGTATGATTCCGAGATGCGTTAATATATTATATCGTTCAACTTCCTCGCTATAACTTCATATTCATTTGGTACTTACACAAGCTGGAGAATCGCTAGCATTTTAAACATGTCACCACTTCGATTGCTACGACAATATTTTGCTTGTAATTTGTAGATGTTCTCGAGTATCTCGTCGCTATCATGAATCGAGCTAGCATTAAAGTTATCAAATCAGAACTTACTATAGAGGATGTTTACTAGTTGAAGTTTTTCATCTAAACTAAGCTCAACAAAATATTTAAGGTTCACAAAAATTCCTCATATTTATAAAATTATTATATTATTAAAATTGAATATAAAAAAATTGAATTTTAATTAAATATAAAAATATATTACAATAGATAACCAACAAATAGATGAAAAGATTAATAATGAAGTTAACAAAATTATTGTTAATAAGTGGGAATTTTTGGAATATAACTAGCCAATTGTTAATTATAATTACAAGCATCGTACAGAATTAAAACATATTAAAGGTATTGATGATATTAAAAAGATTTTAGTAGATAAACTTGGTTATATAGCTGTCTTTTTCTTTTTGGTTGTTTTATATACTAGCTGTGAATATCCTGGCCCTTATTTTGAAGTTGAAAAAGGTTTATTTTTATTATATCATTTAGTTTCTGGTGTTTCTAGTATTGAAATTAATAAGTTTATCCCGCAAACATCATTTCACAAATACTATAAAAAGTTTTGGATAGATGAAGATAACTATAAAAGGTTAAATAAAATTGTTAATGATTCTATGGAGAATATGTTTTCTTCTTTAACTTTAAGAATTTTATCTTCTTATAAATATAATCCACCACTTTTTAAACACATAACTTTTATAATAGATGGTCATGATTCAAGAATTAACTATGTTAATACTGATATAAAACATGAAAGATTATGGTCATATAAATTTAAAAAAAATGGAGTTCGTACACAAATTGTTAGCGATATAAACGATATGATTTTATATGCTTCCAAAAGCGATTATTGTTCTGATAGTTCTGACGGAAGTATGTTTTTGAACATGAAATTATATAAAAAAATATCTAAACAAGATGTATTGGCAACAGATGGTGGTTATACTTTATTTGTTAATCAGCTTATAGAACTTGGTACGGAAAAAGGATATGATTTATCTTTAAATAATTTTGTTTATCCTATACGCAAAGAAAAGAATGTAGATTTAACAGCAGAAGAAAGGCATTATAATGATGTTTTTGGTAGCTTCCATTCAAAAATAGAAGACCAATTTGCTGCAATAGGTAATAAATTTTATAGATTTAATAATAATAAATCTATTGTTAAGATGGACAACATAAAGTTTTATAATCTTTAATTTCGTGTTGCTTGTTTATTAAAAAATATAAAAATATTTAGTGAAAAGTTTAATATTAATATACAAGCACATCATAAATTATGGGAATCAGATAATTTCGAATTTCCACACGAAGCTAAATTAATAGATATAGTTATTAGCAATTCATCTGAGGCAAAAAATAAATTAGATGAAATGGTTAAATTACAGGAACAGTTTTTAAATAATTTAAGTATAGATAATACTGATATGATTTTGATAATGAATACAGCGATGAAAATTATAATGATAAAGATGTTTCCAGCGAAGAAGATGTACCTAAATTCAATGAGAAGAAAAGAAAAAGAAAAGGTAAAGGCAAAGGAACATTAATGGATATAAATAAAATTAGAAATAATTCAACTTCTAATATTTCTTATGAAATAGAATCCATAATAAATCATAAATTTGAAAATGATTCCTATATATTCCTAATTAAATGGAAAGGTTATAATGAATCCCAAAATAGCTGGATATCAATGAAAGATTTTAATGAAACCAATATGTTAAATAACTATATGAAAGTTAATAAATTAACTTAGATAACTCGATACTCTACCCTTCCTAATAAAATTTTATGTAAGATATATTATTTGAGTATGTATAGTGGATAACGTCGGTTCCTATTATTGTAATAATCCTTTAAGTACATTTGCTAGGTTAAAACTTCTACTGTTGCATATATATATTTTTCTAGATTTTCTTTTTTTTATTCTTTTGTTATTAGTTTTATGTATAAAATCACCATCATTAACAATTATGCATGGTAAATTAGGATTTTCTATTTTTTTTGTAGATTTTTTATTTTTTTTCTTTGGAACATGAAGTTTACTATGTATAGTACAAAGGTAATCAGGTTTAGGTTTATCTCCATTAAGATTAGTATTAATTTTTCTGTGACACATATGGCCATTTTTCTTACCTCTTTTATGTATGTAAGTACACACATTTTCGCTTGTATTAACATACCAAAAATAATTATCTTTAACTTTATTAATTTCTTCATTAATTTTTTTATTCATAATCATCTTCTTACTTTCAATATCTTTAACTAACATTTCATCTTCAAAATAATTATGCATAACCTGCTCCATTAAATCTTTAATAGAACAAATCATACTATTCTTATTAATAAGAAGTTCAGTATTTAATATAACTATTTGAATTTTTTATGCCAAATAATATGGGAGGTATTTATTTTTTTTTTTAAATAAAATTTAACAGTATGCACGATTTCAAACTCCGAGAATAAAAAAAATTGTCAGTTTAGAAAAAATTTAAAGAAAATTTATTAACATCGTGTTAATGTTTATTCCTCTATGCTGTAATTTTTTTGTTTCTCATCAATTTCTTCTTCTTTCTTTTTACCTGTCCATTACAAGCTCGTCAAATACTGCTAAGCACTCAGCGGACAATCCCTGAAAGGGATGTACTTCAATAGATTCCAATAATGCATATTGAGTGGCTGTCAAGATTGTCTCGAGAAAACTGCTGCATTGTGGGGAAATCAAGTTTGCTATATTCGACAGGCACAATCTACATCGTACAAAGTAATAGGATCAGTGTCGTTCTATCTTTCTAATTTTGAAATAAGTAATAGAAAGGGGTGATCATACTTGGTATTAATGTCGGTCTCGTTATCCCAACCATCACCTAGTAGCAGATTCCTTGCAGCTACTCTGAGCAATCGATCCACAATCGTCTCGTGTTTTTCTGCCATTCTCTCCACAAACAATTTTTCGTTTCCAGTGATAATCTCTCTGCCGGTCTATCAAAAAACAAGTATATATCAGGATTTGGAGAGCTAAAACAATCGCAAGTATCGAAGCATCATTATTCGTACATAATGAAATGACTGGATCAACTTGTCGGCATCGCCTAATTCCGCTCTTGCTCTTGAGCTGCAGTATTTTCTTCATTCGGACCACTAACAGCAGCATTCGGATCTTCCAAAGAGCCTTGGCTCAAAGTTGTTGCAATTCTTGACCCTGCTTGCTTGGCACCTTGTTCTAACGTTCTTAGAGCTTGAACGCGATATGCTTGCGAGGAGGTTCTCTGCAAAATATCATGCCAGAGTTATTACTGCGCTGCACTATAGCATAATAAATCAAAGGATAGTTTCGTTTACAAATTACCTATTGTTCCAATTCGTCATAGTGAGCTCGCCATGTTGCCGGTACATATTTTGTCGGTCTTTCCATAAGAGAAGGCACAAAACGTTAGTACATTCAAGTTGAGCGATGTACATTATTGAATTGTTCAAAAGATGTATACTTTATATGCAGATCAGGTCGTATAGCACGCACTTCTGCGATGAACCTTGTCCTCCAATAGTTGAAGTATGTGTCAGGTGAGTGAATGGCAGTGGAGATTGAGAAGTCTGCCAGTTGCGCAGCGTATTTGACAAGGAAACCCAACAAGCACGGTTTTTTACAATTGCGAATATAGTAACTCAGTTCTGTAAAAGACAATAATGAATACTATGCTGTTTGTTAGCGCATAAATAAAAGATTGCGCCGTACCTGATTGTCCTGTATACAGGATTTTTCATCTCCTAGCGGACGTTTGAACTTTTATTTAGGCAGAAGGGATTTAATTTTAGGCAGAGTGGACATGAATTTAATCTGAGTAGACATGAATGAAAGTTAATCTGGACATGAATAATAATTGATCTGACATGAATGAAAATCGAGCTGGACATGAATGAAAATCGATCTAGACATGAATGAAAATCGAGCTGGACATGAATGAAAATCGAGCTGGACATGAATAAAGATCGATCTGGACATGAATATAAAACGATCTGGACATGAATATACATCGACCTGGACATGAATATAAATCGATCTGGACATGAGTAAAATCAATCTAGACAAAATAAAAATCAATCTGTACATGAATGAAAATCACTCTAGACAAGAATAATAATCAATTTAAACATGAATAATAGACAACCTGGACATAATAACAGTCAACCTGGACATAGTTTTAGTCAACTAAGACATAATAAAAGTTGAAGTAGATAATATATTAAGTGTAGCACAGCAGAATATATTATGAGTACTTAAAATTTTCAATCCTAATAGAAGTTAAGCAGTACAAAGCCAATGTCAAGATGTAGTAGTATGGCTGTTTCACTCGTGACAAGAAGCTTGTAGGCTAATGTACAGGAAATGGCAAGGGTGCGTCAGAGACTCACTGTGCGCATAAGCCTATTTTGCTGCTGTGGGAACAGGGCCTGAGCGTTTCCCCTCATTTCACTTTACCCGGGTTGAGTTAACAACCAAAGATCCTTTTTTTTCTCATTACCATTCACCATGGCAAATCAACAGCTTCGACGCACATTTGTAAATGGCTCCTACTCTCTTCACAATGAATAAAAAACAAGGAAAACAAAACGGCACAATCCACGGATTTATTGAAAAACGAAATGAAGGTAACTGTTTTCTTAAAAAAAGCATGTGCTCAAGATTTATAAAGGAGTAGACCGCCGTTACTGCTGCTTGAAAAAACGCTGGATAAGTGAACAAGGTAAGGAAAAGGTTATCGGTTATGCTTGAGGTATAGCTTTAGTGGAGATATTATCATTCAGAATTACTGCTTCTTTCTCATTTTCTCTGTATATACTTGATGCACCATCTTGCACCAATCCAACGTCAAACTTACGTGCGTAATACAACATCGTCCTCTACCTGCACAAACCATTCGTACTCACAACAAGAACGACGCAACAATCTTCTTCTCCATTACTCATACACAATTGTATACAACATGACGCTGATCCGCCATTGACTTGCAAAATATACAGCCTGACGCATTTATTTTTCACTATCATGTACGCCCATATTACACGATGACGACTATGACGCCGGTCTTTTTGTTTTAATACTTGTACGCTCAAGCACATCATCATCGTAATGACGGTCATCTCTTTCTTTGCTGTTTGTATTCACATCAATGCGATGACAATTATATTCCTATGATGCATACACACCACCACAACTATAATCCTCCTCTGCAATTCGCTGTGCTCGCACACACACGATGGCAACAACGATTACCTTTTTCTTTTTGCATATGCCAACACGAACATCGCCGGTCTTGATGGATAAGGTAGTTATATATGCTGATGGGTGGTATGTAGGGCTTTATTATTGTTACTGTAGATGTTATGGTTGGGATGAAAAAAATAAAAGTAACAGATCATACATTATGTAGTCATTATGTTTCAGTTGTCTGCATAAACGGGTGTGAGATGGGATTGCATGTTATTACAAGTGCTTCTATAAAAACTATAGATATAGCTCTGGGCGGTGATGATAATATGGCAGGGACAAAAAAGAAAAGGCGTTTGTTGTTATGAAGGAGGAAGTTTCTTTGCTATTACAACAGCAACTTTATTTGTTGTTAATAACAACAACTATGAACAACCGAAAAGTTACTACCCTTGACGACTCGCTACGCTCCCTCTCATTCGACTGTATGTAGAGTTCTTGCACTCATTCCTAATGAAATCGTGTGCGTTCCTGCTGCTCGATGGCAGATCTTCAAGGATCGCATCTCGGAATTGTGTGGCTACAAATGGGTTCACAAACGCGAGACTGTGTATGGCACCAGACGCTCTGCCATGCAATATCAAAAATTACAATAACCATCCTTCACCCCGAAACAACATCCTTCGCACCTGTATAACTCTTGTAGAGCCTTCTTCGTTGTCTTTCTTATATAACGGTCAACATACTTTATTTTCATCCAATCCACAGTAACACAAAAGGAAAGAAACCCGTCAGTTATCCTTCCTGCTATCTACAGCTCATTTTCCATAAAGACCGGCGATGTTAACGTTGGTATATGCAAAAGGTAAAAGTAATCGCGTCAGGCTGTATATTTTGCAAGTCAATGGTGGATCAGCGTCATGTTGTATATAATTGTGTATGAGTAATGGAGAAGAAGATTGTTGCGTCGTTCTTGTTGTGAGTACGAATGGTTTGTGCAGGTAGAGGACGATGTTGTATTACGCACGTAAGTTTGACGTTGGATTGGTGCAAGATGGTGCATCAAGTATATACAGAGAAAATGAGAAAGAAGCAGTAATTCTGAATGATAATATCTCCACTAAAGCTATACCTCAAGCATAACCGATAACCTTTTCCTTACCTTGTTCACTTATCCAGCGTTTTTTCAAGCAGCAGTAACGGCGGTCTACTCCTTTATAAATCTTGAGCACATGCTTTTTTTAAGAAAACAGTTACCTTCATTTCGTTTTTCAATAAATCCGTGGATTGTGCCGTTTTGTTTTCCTTGTTTTTTATTCATTGTGAAGAGAGTAGGAGCCATTTACAAATGTGCGTCGAAGCTGTTGATTTGCCATGGTGAATGGTAATGAGAAAAAAAAGGATCTTTGGTTGTTAACTCAACCCGGGTAAAGTGAAATGAGGGGAAACGCTCAGGCCCTGTTCCCACAGCAGCAAAATAGGCTTATGCGCACAGTGAGTCTCTGACGCACCCTTGCCATTTCCTGTACATTAGCCTACAAGCTTCTTGTCACGAGTGAAACAGCCATACTACTACATCTTGACATTGGCTTTGTACTGCTTAACTTCTATTAGGATTGAAAATTTTAAGTACTCATAATATATTCTGCTGTGCTACACTTAATATATTATCTACTTCAACTTTTATTATGTCTTAGTTGACTAAAACTATGTCCAGGTTGACTGTTATTATGTCCAGGTTGTCTATTATTCATGTTTAAATTGATTATTATTCTTGTCTAGAGTGATTTTCATTCATGTACAGATTGATTTTTATTTTGTCTAGATTGATTTTACTCATGTCCAGATCGATTTATATTCATGTCCAGGTCGATGTATATTCATGTCCAGATCGTTTTATATTCATGTCCAGATCGATCTTTATTCATGTCCAGCTCGATTTTCATTCATGTCCAGCTCGATTTTCATTCATGTCTAGATCGATTTTCATTCATGTCCAGCTCGATTTTCATTCATGTCCAGATCAATTATTATTCATGTCCAGATTAACTTTCATTCATGTCTACTCAGATTTATTCATGTCCACTCTGCCTAAAATTAAATCCCTTCTGCCTAAATAAAAGTTCAAACGTCCGCTAGGAGATGAAAAATCCTGTATACAGGACAATCAGGTACGGCGCAATCTTTTATTTATGCGCTAACAAACAGCATAGTATTCATTATTGTCTTTTACAGAACTGAGTTACTATATTCGCAATTGTAAAAAACCGTGCTTGTTGGGTTTCCTTGTCAAATACGCTGCGCAACTGGCAGACTTCTCAATCTCCACTGCCATTCACTCACCTGACACATACTTCAACTATTGGAGGACAAGGTTCATCGCAGAAGTGCGTGCTATACGACCTGATCTGCATATAAAGTATACATCTTTTGAACAATTCAATAATGTACATCGCTCAACTTGAATGTACTAACGTTTTGTGCCTTCTCTTATGGAAAGACCGACAAAATATGTACCGGCAACATGGCGAGCTCACTATGACGAATTGGAACAATAGGTAATTTGTAAACGAAACTATCCTTTGATTTATTATGCTATAGTGCAGCGCAGTAATAACTCTGGCATGATATTTTGCAGAGAACCTCCTCGCAAGCATATCGCGTTCAAGCTCTAAGAACGTTAGAACAAGGTGCCAAGCAAGCAGGGTCAAGAATTGCAACAACTTTGAGCCAAGGCTCTTTGGAAGATCCGAATGCTGCTGTTAGTGGTCCGAATGAAGAAAATACTGCAGCTCAAGAGCAAGAGCCGGAATTAGGCGATGCCGACAAGTTGATCCAGTCATTTCTTCATTATGTACGAATAATGATGCTTCGATACTTGCGATTGTTTTAGCTCTCCAAATCCTGATATATACTTGTTTTTTGATAGACCGGCAGAGAGATTATCACTGGAAACGAAAAATTGTTTGTGGAGAGAATGGCAGAAAAACACGAGACGATTGTGGATCGATTGCTCAGAGTAGCTGCAAGGAATCTGCTACTAGGTGATGGTTGGGATAACGAGACCGACATTAATACCAAGTATGATCACCCCTTTCTATTACTTATTTCAAAATTAGAAAGATAGAACGACACTGATCCTATTACTTTGTACGATGTAGATTGTGCCTGTCGAATATAGCAAACTTGATTTCCCCACAATGCAGCAGTTTTCTCGAGACAATCTTGACAGCCACTCAATATGCATTATTGGAATCTATTGAAGTACATCCCTTTCAGGGATTGTCCGCTGAGTGCTTAGCAGTATTTGACGAGCTTGTAATGGACAGGTAAAAAGAAAGAAGAAGAAATTGATGAGAAACAAAAAAATTACAGCATAGAGGAATAAACATTAACACGATGTTAATAAATTTTCTTTAAATTTTTTCTAAACTGACAATTTTTTTTATTCTCGGAGTTTGAAATCGTGCATACTGTTAAATTTTATTTAAAAAAAAAAATAAATACCTCCCATATTATTTGGCATAAAAAATTCAAATAGTTATATTAAATACTGAACTTCTTATTAATAAGAATAGTATGATTTGTTCTATTAAAGATTTAATGGAGCAGGTTATGCATAATTATTTTGAAGATGAAATGTTAGTTAAAGATATTGAAAGTAAGAAGATGATTATGAATAAAAAAATTAATGAAGAAATTAATAAAGTTAAAGATAATTATTTTTGGTATGTTAATACAAGCGAAAATGTGTGTACTTACATACATAAAAGAGGTAAGAAAAATGGCCATATGTGTCACAGAAAAATTAATACTAATCTTAATGGAGATAAACCTAAACCTGATTACCTTTGTACTATACATAGTAAACTTCATGTTCCAAAGAAAAAAAATAAAAAATCTACAAAAAAAATAGAAAATCCTAATTTACCATGCATAATTGTTAATGATGGTGATTTTATACATAAAACTAATAACAAAAGAATAAAAAAAAGAAAATCTAGAAAAATATATATATGCAACAGTGGAAGTTTTAACCTAGAAAATGTACTTAAAGGCACTGCGCCCGTAGAGAGGTATCCATAACTTTTCAAAGTTATGGATTTTCGATAAATTGAAGTTGGGAGATGGGGGAAGCCAGTACCCCAAAGTTTTGAAGGGGGGACAGAAGGGCTGCAAGTGAAAAATTAAAAAATACAAGATATTTTCCAATATATGGGGGTAGACATCTATGTGAAGCATGAAGGTTACAAGTGGAAAAGCAGCAACTTCAAGGCAGCTTCATTCAAAATTGGGGGTGCCACCACAAGCTAATAAAGAAAAAGCTCTTGCCAGATGCAAAGGTCTCGACAGTATATTAGGGGTACCTGTTCAGGGAATGTATACTTTTTATCAAGCAAAGGGGTCACAGGAGGAGAAAAAGCGGTTAAGGGTTGCAATAATATTGATTGGAGTGGGGACACGGATTTCAATCTGGGCGGGTTTTTTCATAGTTGCTGCAGCAGACGTACTCAAGGAGTATGATTTTGCAACATGCTAAGCAATAAAAGAAAAAAGAAAATAAAGAAAAGCCGCTTCTGAAGAGAGTCCGGATAGCATAGTCATCGTTCAACCGTTTATACAAAAGCTGCCGCTATTGACTTATTGTTGAAATGACCTGCTCAAAGGAAGCGGGCACTCCTTCCCCTTTTATATTAAGGGGACACATCAAAAAAGAAAAAGAACATAAAGTAGTCAAGCGATGGGCAACATATATGGAAGCAGCTGCAAATACTTTTATTTTATTCTGTTACAAGAAACATTATGCTGTAGAACAGGGCCAAGAGAGAAGTCCAGCACCTGATATGCAAAGCAGGAAGTAGTACCAAAGTAACGAAGACGCCGCACATTTGCAAAATAGAAGAGCATTTTTATCTGAAAGTAAATGGTAGATGGGGTCATTTTTCATTACCACCACTATTTTTGCCAGGCGATTTTAACGTTAAACTTGCAGAGTTCGTAAGACCTCAAATTTTGAGTTAAAAGTTGGTAATTAGCACATTGACTTTTGCAGCTTTCTTTCTGAATGGTGTAATCGGAAGTTGCCAGTAACGGAATTAGAATGGTTGCGCGTCGCTGATTAACAGAATGTGAGAAAGTGAATTGGATCGAAATGGTGCCGTCTGAAAGGCAATGCGAAGAGACGGCGCATCGATTTGGGAGGAAGAGTGCGTGAAGGAAGAAATGAAAGACAACCTTTTCACGAGGCACCAGTAGAGAGAAATGTTTTGGTTTATCAGAAAAAGGCTACTCAACCTTATGCGCTCACGTAGCCTCGAAAATCAGATACAAATATTTCATTTGATATTTTATTACAGACTCCTTTTCTATAAATAATCTGATGTAAAGACATACCGAATACTTCGTTAATAACAGCACGCGACGCAGAGAAGGACGTTGGGTAGTAACGTATATGGGCACCCGATTGCTCGATGGTGTATTTGTGCTGCCACGATCTTTTGTTTGCTAGCAACATGTGCTCATGCCTAAATTAACAATAATTAAAAGTGATCAGTAACGTTCATACGTAGAAAAAAAACGTTTGGTATTATCATGTGCTTATGTCGCCAAGATGCTTCTTGAGAAAGGATCAATAAATTGGTGGTTAGCAACGTGCGCATACTGCCAAGAAGCTTATATTAATATAAATAAAAAAATAAGTAGTGATGTTGATACCGCTGTTATCATGCGCTCGTGGCGCCAAGATATTTCCTGAGGAACAATCAATAACGTGGTCGAAAACATGCGCGTAGCGCCAATGTGCAAATTAAAATAATAATGAAGTAGTCTGATGCGTCTGCACCGTAACGATGAGTGCTATAATATAGATAAAGAATTGATTGTTAGAAAAAGATATAAAAGAGAGCGAAGAAAGCAACAGACTTATTACACCACCACTGATATTCTTCACGTACCCTTGTTTCCTTGACGATGTCCAACTTGAACGGCGAGTTCATGTTATGCTTTTGTCGAAATTGTCGGGCACATCCGGAGGGATACCGTCGAGTCACTCTGAGAGCGTATACTGATCATGTCAGGGCTGACGAACAGTATAATTTACAGCAGGAATTCAACGGTACGGTAGCAGAGCTTTCACAGAATAGTTTTTACGCTCGTATCAAATGTTGCATTATACTGATCCGCCATATGTAGATCAAACTCTGCCGATGGTGGATGGGGGCGATATGCAGATGGAAGTCGATGATCCACAGCTGCCTGATCATAACGCCGACGTATTTGATGATGGTAATTTTGTTGATGATATTGATTGTGAGTTGCGATGTTGCACTGTGTTGCGCTTTGTTGAACTGACTGTGTGTTCCTTGTTGGAATCTAGTTGTTGAAGCTGCGGCGGATTCCGGTGTAACCTTGCCGTATGAATCATTTGGAGGTGACCAACCAGTAGCGGATCAAGAAAGAGATGACGATGAATTGATGTACCAGGCTGACGACGTCGAATTCGATAATGTAGTCGAAGATGATACAGCAGGTTAGTGGTAGTAATGGTGCTAGAAATAATGTGGAAAAAATATCAGGGTTAATAACTGCTATGCAATAGATGAACCGCCAACAATCCTAGCCGCAACAAACCCGCTCGATTCCGTCCCACAACCATTGATATTCGTCTTCATCTTCATTTGTTTATTCCAACTCCACCACCTATCCGAGCGTGTCGCATCCATGCTGATCACATTCATCATAACCTTGTTCGCCGGCCTTCACATCCTCCCGAAAACACCATTATTCCGTCTACAATTGCTGGGATACGACAAGCTATTGGCTTTAACCGGTTGACACAGGATCTGCGAAAATATGTTGCCTGCAGCAAATGCCACGCCATATATCTGCCGTCACCAACGTTGCACGAGCGATGCACCAAGCCAAGCAGCATAATCGACGGAGATTCTTGTAATACACCTCTATTTAAAACAACCACCAACAACCGTCGCTCCCCTATTAAAGAATATACTTACCATCCCTTACAACAAGCCGTGAAAAGGTTCTTCATGCGTCAAGGTTTCGAGGACAAAATCCTTGGGTGGCGAAATCGTCGGATTCCAAGAGCAGGAGATCTCGGCGATGTGTACGATGGCATGAAATGGGTCAGTCTCCAGGATTCCAACAATACCACCTTTGTTGAAGACCCACGCTCGTTGATGCTGACACTTAACGTCGATTGGCTTGCGCCTTTTGACACCGGTTACTCGTGTGGCGCCATTTACATCACCATCAACAACCTCCCTCGTGCCGACCGCCAAAAAGTTGAGAACGTCATACTTGTAGGTGTTATGCCTGGACCAAGTGAGCCGAAGACCTATGAGATGAACCACTACCTTGAGCCATTAGTCGACGATCTCATTGCTCTGTACGATGGCATTGAAATGAGCACATTCCAAGAACCACAAGGCACACGGATTCGCGCAGCTCTGCTTAACGTTACCTGCGATATACCTGCTGCTCGGAAGGTTGGTGGTTTCACCTCGCATGCCAGTACGCGAGCATGTAGCAAATGCACGCGCGAGTTTGTCGTTTTTCCAGGCACTACAAAGCTGGATTATTCAGGTCACCAAATTCCGTCCTCGGACCTGCGGACAAAGGAGGGTAACCTACGCGACGCGCAGCAATGGCTAGCAGCAACAACACCAAGAGCACGGTACAACGTCGAGCGTGAGACAGGGACGCGCTGGTCGCAGCTCCATCGTCTTCACTACTTTGATCCAGTCTCGTCCGTACTTATTGATGTGATGCACAATTTGTTTCTGGGGACTGCCGCTCGGATGGTGTCTGGATGGAGGACTTTTGGTTATTTCCGTGAAGCTGACTATGAGGTTATGCAAGAGCGCGCTGACGGGATTGTGTTGCCGCCTGGAATGCCTACCCTGAAGCGCAAGATCCAGCGCAAGTTTGGCTTCATGACGGCTGAGGACTGGAAGACATGGACGCTCGTCTACTCCGCATTTGTCCTCAAACCCATCCTCCCTCCTGATCACATGGCGAACTGGATGCTTTTCGTCGCTGCGTGCCGCCACATTGTCCAAACCACGGCCACATATGAGCGTCTCGACCAAGCTCACATTTTATTCGAGCGTTTCATATGTGGTTGTGCAGCATTATACGGTCCTGATTTTGTTACGCCCAACATGCATTTGCACTTGCATTTACGTACCACCATCGAAGACTTCGGGCCGGTCTACGCACATTGGTTGTTCAGCTTCGAGCGATACAACGGTTTCTTGAAGGACGCGTACACGAACCAGAAGGACTCTTTCGAGGTAACCTTCATGAAGCGATTCATCGAGAAGGCCGGTGCTCTTGATTTCGTGACGAACGAGGCTCACCGCTTTGCTCAGCTACCACAACAGCTCAGGATGCTTGTACGAATGGCCGGTCAATATGTATCCTCCCTCGTCTCATACACCAGCAATGACACGCCATTCGACCCGTATGCTTTCGTTCAATTATCCTTAGACACGGATATCGACGTGGATGGTAGCGAGCCGTTGCCCCCTGACACGATCAGTTCCATGACAAGTGGAAAACAACACGGCTGCCAGATGATCGCGTAAACCTGCTCGTCAGCTTCTATCAGCAACATTATGATCAAAATACCGTCATCAGCGCCCAGTCTGGTCAACGACCGATCCATCCTCACACACTCATAGTGCACGACGGGGTGGAAACATTTCGAGCAATCGAGATTTTCGGACAGACTTACCGCTCAGCAACTTCGAGATCTTTGCGTGGGTCCTACATTCAAGCCTTGTTTATTCAGGGTAATGGAGTCGTTGCGTGGACCGGCCAAGTCCAATTTTTTTTCAAGCACAATCTCCTCGTTGATGGCAGACAGAAGACGCACTCATTTGCCTTCGTCCGTTGGTATCGCGCAGCAGCAAGGCAGCAACGCTTCGAAGATGAGGGCCTGGAAGAGTGGTTGAGCAGTTTTATGGCAGAAGGAACTGACTCCATCTTGCCTATCCACCGGATTCACTCGCAGGTGGCCATTGTCAAGTTCGGCTCGCAAAGAATTGCCAATACTGCAAGAGTCATAGTGATACCGCTTGCTAGGAAAGTGTTTTTGTAGAAAAAAATAAAGATTGCGATAAAAAAAAAGAATTTTATTTCGCCCAGTCGGGCAAAGTGTTGAGCACGTCTTGCTCGATCTGGACGTCACTGCCTGGGATCAGGAGTCTGGTGTACTCCCCGTTGGGCCTTCTTGTCCCAGTCGCGGCATCGGCTTTGGACTTCGCGTCCAAATCGTCGAAGAACTCATTGGCCTATGCAAAGTATCGCTATAATATTAGCAACTATTCCGATACTTCACAACACTGGATTTTCGTGAGTATCTTGAATAATGAAATACCGTGCTCGATCTGAAGGCAGGCACCAAACGTCGCAACACTCGTCCTCGTCCTCCCTCTTCATCGTCACTCATCTCCGGCGACATACATTCTCTCCGAAGGAGACGCTCGCATCCAGGGAAGCGCGATTCCAGATCCTCTGCATGGCGCTGGCGTGTGGCAATGCGAGTCTTCAATTTCTATACGTGATTGAGCGTTAATATTTACGTCAGAAAGCACTTGAACATACACTCGCCCTTTGCGCACTAACTTTGTAGACTCGCGAATACCGCCTGATTTCCACACCACGTCGAGCAGCTGTCGCCTCAGTGGTGCGCGACTTGGTGCGTAGCGTATTGAAGTACGCTCTCACTCTGTTGCGAACATCCATGTCGCTGAGCAACCCACTCGTTCTCGGGTTCGAAGCAACGAAGCCCAATACAGCTGTCGTAACTATCTGGTTATCCCGATGTCTGAAGCTGTTCTCGAAATTCCAGCGATCACATTCGGGAAAACTGGCGACGCATGAATGGATAGCCGCCTACCATAGAAATATAACATAGTTAAAAGACAATAATAAGAAGCTTTATTTTCTTTTATTACAGTCACTCTTGCACTGGCATCTCCCTGTGTCACGGAAGAAGACACCGGCTGCTGCTGGCCGTTAGCAACGATTGGTGTAGCAGTTGTATGTTGCTGTTGTTGTATAGCGTCAATGACGCTCGTCAAACCCGTAATTTGATTTTTGACGGTTGTCATCTCGGCTTGGAGCTTCCTGTTGGAATCAAGAACAGAAGCGAGAGACAAGCGATCTTGCGATTCCGCCACGCGCAACTGGTGCTGGGCACGACGGTCGTTGATGATATTACTGGTATTGTTGTTGTTTGAAGAAGACATCTATAACATTAATAGTAAGCAACATTTTATGGACTATAAAGACACTAATGAATGACCAGTATTTACGTTTGCAAAAAAAAAGACAAGAAGAGTATGTGCGGTGAAATAGCAAGGAAGAAAAAAAACACGTCTTTTACAGCATTTATTTATCTGTATCTGTAGGCTGATCTATGTAGCTCCCCTCCTTTATATTGTGCATTTGGCTAGCATAAATGGGGAGTATATAAAGTAGCATTGACTTGAAGTTCATAATTATCCTCTTTCTTTCCATTTTCTTTTCTATTTCTCTTCTCAAACACTCCCGCCGGCAATACAGTGTAAGGTATTTTATCTTATATCTCCTCTCCTACTATCGAATGACTTCCCAACTCGCTTTTAAACAAACATTCACTTTGTTATCTAGAGACACCGCTTACGATTCAAGCGCTGTTGTAGCAAGCCTTGGTAAGTATTTTATATTCTTTTTCTCATATTGCCTAGTCGACATTGCAAACTGCAGCGATCTCATATTATTTGTATACCCCAGCTCTGTAGATCTCATCTCATCCGAGAGTCATCATTGTAAGTACATTCGGGGGTGTTTTTACTTTTGTTATTTCTTTTGAACAAGCACTGCTTTGTTAATAATTGATTGCTTTCTATCCTATACTCTACTTTAGTAGACGATGCTTTGATGTCCTTACCTGCTCTTCTCTACTACGCCGTGCCTTTCTCAAAGCCTTTTATTTTGCTTCCGTTCTCTTTCGTTAGCACTAGAATAGACATAGTTATTCCGTAGTTTTTAATACTGTGATTGCTGCACACCATATCGCGCTATTGTTTTTGAATAAAATCCATCGTTTTTAATACCGCATACATGCTTTCTGCTATTTTATCGCCATCCTGCAAATAATCGTCATAATTTTTGTAATACTGGACCCCATCGTATTTTACGTTGCCCATTGATACTGCAGATGAATATAGAATATTTTAAAATAGTTTTATCGGTGTTGCTCCTGTACGATCCCAAATGAGCGGCAAACAGACAGAATTAAAATTGATCCACATAGACTGCAGGTGCAGCAGACATGCATCCTATTGTGCCTATACCCCCCAAATCCTACTAGAAACTAACTCGAGGTATCCATAACTTCAAACTTATGGATTTTCACGGAAGAAAAGTTGCAAGTAAGGTATCCATAAGTTTAAAAGTTATGGATTTTCTTATGGATTATAGTATATCCACAAGAAAATCCATTACTTCAAACTTATGGATACCTCCCTACGAGCGCAGTGAAATTCTTTAATATTTATATTATTATTATTTAAAAATATACTTAATTTATTGGTATCAAGAACGATTTTGTCATTGTTGAATGTGATTGTGTTGTTCATGTTTAATATTATGAAGTGTTATTTTTATATAATAAAAAAAATTCAATTTTTATTTTTTTAAAATTTTTAAATATATGCATGCCAAGACATACATAATTTAATTTTATGAAAATTATTTTGGTTACACCAACTTATTGTGACTATTCGTCCAACTAGTACCAATAAATCAGAGCATAATCATTATAACCTCAACCGGTCCCCTGAGAATGAAGTTGATCGTGGCCAACTTACTAAACCTTTATATTTGGCAATGTATTCATTCATTTCATCAGGCATGGTCTTCAGCTTCGGTGCTTGATGACTTTTTATTTCTTGGATCTCCTTCTCAGTGAAGACAAGGGCCCAAACATTGTCTTGTGGATCCAAAATGAGCGAGTGAGATAAGCTAAACAAATGCAAAGCAAAGTTAAGATATACCGAGCATAAGGTTATAGCGTAGTAGAAGAAAACACTATCATTACTTACTGTTCATGATTGCATATCGCTGCAACTTTCTCCATTTGCTTTTCGACAATTGTCCCCATACTCAGACGCCACATTCTTTCTTCATCCAATCTTTTGTACATTGCTGTTATCAATTCTTTGTCTTCTGATGAAAGCTTATACGCTTTGCTCTCTGGCGAATCCATTGAGACGGTGTTGGACGTTATTTTTCTGTCTTCGGAACTTGCAGAAGCAAATGCAGAGGCCAGCGCATTCCAATCAGGGTTAGATTGAATGCTTGCTCAGGGGCCCCCTCGTTCTTCAGCATATATCGATGCCCATTGCAACTGATCACCTCATCCAAGATTCGCTCGATCAATTGATCAATCGATATCGATTCCATATACAGTTCAACCATTACATAACAATAGAAATGATCGTTCTACATACCATGTAGTAAATGATCAAGAATTTAGTGGAAAAAATTTAAAATACATATATGTACTTACTGTATCATCTGCAGCAGGATAATAATCATATAAAGAGTCCAACATTACCATGTCATCCAACGGAACAATTTCGGGTGGAGTGTCTCTAGTACGGCAGGCCACACAGGTTCTATACGGTCTAGTATTACCGCTGAAATCCATTCCAGGCTTCTCACTGCAGCATCTCTTGCAAAGATAGTTGTTGTTGTAGTCAAAATTGCCAGCACTAAGTGCTTCAGTGATAGTTGGTAAAGTAGAGTTCGGTTGGTTACGATGTCCAGAGTTCATTCTGCAATTAATAAAAAAAAGAGTTGGAGAAAGAGCAGGGAAGAGGAAGAAAACACCCAAGCCACTTCTTTCCAGGGTCAAAAAAATTCAGACTCCATACACTCTTTCGCGTTTGTTAATCATCTAATGATGGTTCTAGAGCAACTACTTTTCTTTTACTATACACATCATCTTTCTGCTATCTCATACTTTAGGTCAGCTAAATTTTAATTCCTATAGGATCATATATAAATATGGAAAAAGTGATGTTTGTTGGTGTATACATCTGGATGTGTCCAGTTGAGTATTTATCTCAGGTTGATAATGGGTGTTCGCGTTTCTGGTGCGGGACAATGTGAAACCCGAAATTCCTCAACGCGAATTTTCGGCGGCTCCTATGAAAGCGATCTAGGGATAGAACGCCGCACAGAGTTTCATTGAAAGTCTTCCCAACATTTTTTTAAAATCACTGTTGCAGATGCTCTAATGAGCAGTCCGAATGATGGAATATAGTAACGATCGATCAATGCACTAGATTATAGCCACCGCTGCTTATTGTCGTACTTTATAAATTCTTTGTTTGTATATCATAAGTTTGTTGTATACGCGACCTGCTCTGTTCAGACATACTCCCAATAACTGCCGAAGCTGGTTTTCATTCGTGCATCATAAGCTTCTCCAGCGAAGGGGTATTCGCGCTATCAGCTATACATATAGTGTGGATCTAGTACACATTTTGAAAAACTTATTAAACTAGTTACACGCAAAATATACAATCATCTTTACACAGAGTTCTTTCCAAACATCCCTACTTCGCCACATTTGTGCCACTATATTAACTTACTCGGGCCTTCCTCCAAGGACGTACGCTTGGGCTCCACCCTTGAGAAAAGTGTATCAAAGAAAAAATAAAGAACTCTACGCAAACCAAGAGAGGGACGATGATAGACCCCAGTGTTACCCAGCTGCTACCAGGTATCATCTTGATTTACTCGGGCTTTCCTCCAAGGACGTAGGCTTGGGCTCCACCCTTCGAGAAAAAGAAAAGACATAAGGAGATTCATCAGCTAATGCAACTGGATTGAATCTAAAACAGATCTTAAGTGAGACTACGATTTCTGACTTACTGCGATCTTCCTTTCACATAAAACATTTGGAGCGCTCATTGTATCCTAGCAACGAGGCCTAACAGAAAAAGTCCATTAGAGTGAGAAAAATACATTTTAGCGAAACCACTTGCGCATCTGCTATTATGTCAAACCTGTTGCTCACCACGTTCAATACTTGGTAAGGGTTGCTACAATTACGAACCTCCTGTAGAAGGTGGAAAATTGTGTGACGTGGTCCTGTCGGCCCCGCTATTGCCTCTATCTGTCATGGGATCACCCAATCCTCTATTTATTTCGTTTACAGCAATTATCAATAAACAATCTCTTTCTTCCCTGCATTTCTATCTCTTGGCGCCGTTTTCGTCAAGTCGTTTCTCATCGGTTTCACTTCGTATGTGAGGGCAAGAAGGGTTCCTTGGCTCGATAGCCTCGTAATGGTCATTAATGGACGATTATTATAATATAGTTTTGATCTGCTCTTGTACTCCAATATCCCTGTTCTCAGACGTTATCTCTGTTCATTCAGACGTTGTATCTCTGCTCTGCAGTCGTTGTATCTCTGTCCTCCTCCTTCATTGAGGTATGGATTAGTCGTTTATATTTTGCTCCTATCTTTTTTGCTATTATCCCCCTTTATCCCTGATATATGTATCGTTGTATGTAGGCATAGTGTGACAGTCTTTTTAAAGATCTTATTACAATACTCCGCGTTGTGACTTCGCGGATCTCGCGGCCAATTACATCGCGAGATTGGGCAACCAAACAGACCACAATATAAGAATCTCCATGAAACGCCATATGTCTCCATGCATCTCTTGTACTATTGTATTCCTGCAAGCACCGAGACTTGATTTCAAAATAGAGAAAGACAAGTTACTATTCCTTGTTTTTTTTCGCTATATATAAGCCTGGTAGTAAAAAGCTGGAGAATTCGGTAGGCTGGAGGACCCAACAATACAACCGCCATTGCAGTCCATGGATCACGCGGATTCTTTGTCAATTATTACAACGACGAGTACGCCTGACATCGGTCACACGTGTTGTCAAGGGTGCTCTTTACATGCGTGTGTCGCGGGAGACTTTTGTTATTGTCGCATTCATTCATACTAATCTGACCGGTGGTCTCAGCATCCGAAAAGTTGACCATCAGTAAGTCAGTAATATGAGCAAACAAAACGATCCATTAGTGCCATGCAAGAGCAATGTTCGGTTCAGATATTTACATCAGGCTGGACCAACAATGATCCAGACCGACTATATAATTTTGATATACCATCTACGTTTGTATGTGTGATGGGACCAAGTGAGTATGTGAGCTTCATCAATAGGTGTTTGTATTCCAAAAAAGAGAACAAGGAGCACATCAAATTACTGCTCTTGCATATATAAAACCGACTGTTTGAAAACAACTTGTGATTATCTACGTTAGTGCAGGACTATCTGGTCCAGACACGATAGGCTCCATTGCAATCAAATTAGCAACCAATTCGCGCCGTTGCTCCCGTCCTAGAAAAGCCCAAATTGCTATAAGATATAATGAAAGGAAAGATAAATATACAACAACAACAAAATAAATAATATATTATGTTTAAGGAAAGTTGTTGTTATTTTAAACACGTCGTGAAAGGCTTGCCTCCCTCTGCAACCTTCCACCTCTAAATCTCATTGTCGAGTTAGGCTGCGTCCAAGTATTCCTTGCCTAAAGGAGGGGATGCTCATTACCATTCCGCTATTTTCAATTATTTAAATCATTTATATTTTATTTTACAAATTTTTATTCATAATAAATAATATATTTTTGAAATGTATTTTTAAAATGATAAAAATATTTAATAATTTTTTAAAAACTAAATAAATATAAATTATGTATTATATAATAATATATTTAAACATTTTTTTAAAGTATCTAAAACATAAATAAGAATTATAAAATTTTCATATTAAATTTCTAATTATATTTTTTTCTCTATATATAATTTAATATAATATTTTATTGTAATTGTTTATTCATCAAAGGAATAACGAATGAACCAAAAGCAGGTGATAGCCGCTGGGCATGAAATTGTAAGAATAAAGCATCCTTTGGAAATCTTAATACGCTTTATAATTTTTGGCGAACAACAAACTCGCTGCCGATTTTATATACCAAAACACGAAGAACACGGTTGATATTATGTGTGAAGTATTACATAAATCGCCAAATCGAGGCAATAATAGCTTTACTCCACGAATATCACTAAACACCTCAGCTCCTGCGTAAACGTGTGCTTCTGGAGAAAATATATCTTATACATACTACTCCTCCTTAGTTGATATAATTCTAAAATAAAATCATTAGCTTACTCACATCACCAATAATCTATAGAGTTTCAAAAATCAAAAATTTAATTCGACAAACATTTATTTGGGGTGGTTGTGAGTACCTAATAGGTGCCACCATGCCACCGATATATTATTCGTAAAAACAAAGGCTACATATGTCAGAGAAAAGGCAAGTCATTTACTCACAGACAAATCTTTACATTCGTTGTTGGCAGTTAAAGAATGAAGTTTTCCATTTCTACACGCTTGCGCCATTCTTCAGATGCATACTTTTTGAGTATTTCAGCAACAGCGTTGTTTATCAGCTCGCCAACCAACCGCAATACTCTCTCAAAACATTGGATGTGAGTTCTTTTACCACGCTAATGTATCTTATTTATACAGTACTCAACCAGAATAAGAATGTGATCATTTAAAGATTACTTAAAGTCATATCAATCTATTTTCCTTAGAAAGAAAGACATGGAATATACTTCCCACTTTTTCTACGTTGTTACAATATATATCACGCTTATGTAACTATAAACTCGACTGTTCTACCGCTCATAATTGGAGCTCATCCGACAAACGTTTGTTAAGAACAGGCGTAGCATTCCTGATTATACACATTTTTACGTATAGGTATAAGTACAGAACTGACATCTATGACCCTGTCTATCACTAACTAGATTTCATCTTTTATATGAGCCTTTACATGACTTATGACAATCTTTTTTATTATTTATCAGCCTTTACTACAAACACAACTTGCAAGAAGATGCCTCTCGTCATGCTTATCACCATGGAGAGAAGTCATTACAGTCAAGGCGTTGCTAAGTAATCTGTACCATGCTACATAGTTACTAACTGGTTCCTCCGGACCTATGAGTAGATCATCACATCATTAGAACATACCAGAATTCTTCAGAGTATGTACATACATTCTTGTTATGTGACTACAGTACAACATTAAACCATGTAGTAGCAGGCAGCACATCATCTAACTGCTCTTTTAGTGAAGTAAGGAAAAGCTTGGCACGTACTGCTTATAACAAAAGATGCAGTATTTATTGTTGTTTTTGTTCAGTGCTGCAGCACGTATGATGCCGAAGAGTAGCACTATCTCGGTTGGTGCAACGCTAAATAAAAAAAGGCCCTGATTTCTATTCTTAACTAAGGAAGCTCACAACAATTTGTTCAGATGATAGACGACACTTACCTAACTTCTTATTGTATTCTATTATTTAAGAGCTTTAAACTAAATAAGGAAAGATGTGATTGCCAGCTTATCGATCCCACTTGTGCAACATATTCACATTTTGCAGATCCTAGATTTTGCAACTTTTTTGACAGTATTCCCGCTGTTGCAAAAAGCGGGGGTTCACTGTACAAACAAAGATAATCAAGCAAACTTTTAATGAAAATAGTAGCATAAACATAATAAGGAGGTCATATATAGAGAAGAAGTTTGAAGACATACTGGATGAATATATATACAGGCAGTTATATAATAGAGGAGAAGTTTTAAAGACATATGGGATGAAGGTATATACAGGAGGTATGAGGATTAAACGGTAGATTTGGGTTTCTTTGGTGACATGTTTGTGGACGAGCTTCCTGTTGCCTTGCGCTTACTGTTGGTGGGCGTGATACAGGGTGGTATCATGATACTGGAAGGCGAGATGCCAAAAGAAAAATCGATATCGGTGCTGTTGATATTTTTAACAACGTCTCTCAACATCTCTTTCACATTCCAGATGATCTTAAATAGCGCAGCGATACGTGTGACAAAGTTACTTTGTGGAACATCTCATAGTCTGATATTTACAAATTTATTATAAAATTTCGTCTATTTATGATATTTTTTCCAATCCGGAGTTTTAAATTGTGCATATTAAAATAATTTATTTTAAAAACAAAATTGAATTTTTTTTATAATATAAAAAGTGCTCTCAAAATAGTTTGCCTAATTGAATTTCTCCCCATCAACTATATCAACTATGTACAAATTTATGCAATGAACTAGATGTTTTCATGCAATCTGAATTTAATCATTTTATTGAAAAAAACATAATTGAAAAAGTTAATAAAAAAGTTAATAGAAAAATAAAAAATTTATTCTCTACTGATTATTTCCTATATCTTTCGATGCATAATAGCTTTTGTACATATAAATTTGAAAGAGGAAAAAAGAAAGGTACGTTTTGTGGGAAAAAAATAAGAACTAACTTATCTGATAATAAACCTGACTTTCTTTGTTGCTCACATAGTAAAAAACATATACTAAAAAAAAGAAAAAAAATTGAAAAAAAAGATATATAAGTAGATAATATTGCTGAAAATCAAAGATTTAATAAAAAATTGAATAATGAAGAATTATCAAATATAAATATAATAAAAAAAAGAAGAAAAAAAGACTAATGAAATTAATCATTGGAAATCCTTTTCTGTTATGTTTTAATAATATTTTACCTTAATAATATGAAATTATATGTTTAGATGATGTTTTAGAATATATTTATTTACTAAATCCTTTTCATTGAATCTATTAATATGCAACCAACTATTATCTACAGATGGATAATTTTTCCATTTCACAAAAAATATATATTCATTATACTCAATTTTATGGTCAACTATAATTTCTATTTCATATGCTTCATCCTCTATACTTCTAACTTTACTTATATTAATAGCTTTTTCCTTCCCTTTACCTTTACGTCTTCTTTTCTTTTCATTAAACTTAGGAATATCATCTTCACTACTATCATTATTATTACTGTTATTATCTTCAGTAACCTCATTATCAATATTCATATTATCATCAATATCAAAATTTAAAAACTGTTCTTGTACTTTGATCATTTCATCTTTTTTAATGCAGCTTCACTTGAATTACTAATAACAATATCTATTAATTTAGCTTCAAATGGAAATTCAAAGTCATCAGATTCCCATAATTTATGATGTGCTTGTATATTTATATTAAATTTATCACAAAACTTTTTTATATTCTTTAGTAAACAAGCAACCCGAAACTGAAGATTATAAAATTTTATATTATTCATTTTTACTATGGATTTATTATTATTAAATCTATAGTATTTATTACCAATTTCTGAAAACTGGTTTTCAATTTTTGATCTAAAACTACCAAATATGTCATTATAATGTCTTTTATCTGCTGTTAAATTTACATTAATTTCTTTACAGATTGGATATATAAAATTATTTTTAGATAAATCATATCCTTTTTCACTTGAAAGTTCTATCAATTGATTTATAAATAAAGTATATCCACTATCAGTTGCTAATACATCTTGTTTGCTTAATTTGTTATACAGTTTCATATTTAAGAACATAGAGCCATCAGAACTATCAGAACAATAATCACTTTTTGATGTATAAATTATCATATCATTCATATCAGATACAATTTATGTTCGTATACTATTTTTTTTAAATTTATAAGAAAATAATCTTTCACATCTTATATCAGTATTAACATAATTTATTCGCGAATCATGTCCATCAATAATAATTGTAATATGCTTAAATAATAGTGAATTATATCTATATGATGATAAAATATGTAATCTTACTGTTGAAAACATATTTTCTAAAGAATTATTAACTATTTTATTTATTCGTTTGTAATTATCTTCATCCATCCAAAATTTTTTATAATATTTATGATATGTTGCTTGAGGCAAATATTTATTAATTTCTATACCTGATATACCTGATACTAAATGATATAATAGGAATAACCCTTTTTCTATTTCGAAATAAGGTCCAGGATATTCATAATTAGTATATAATATTAATAAAAAAAAGAATACTGATATATATCTAAGTTTATCAACTAGAATTTTTTTAATTTCTTTAATATTTTTAATATGTTTTATTTCTGTACGATGTTTATACTTATGGTTTATAATAGGCCAATTAGATTCTAAAAATTTCTAATTATTAATAATAATTTTATTAACTTCATTATTTATTTTTTGATTTAAATCTTGCTGGTCCATTATACAATTTATCTTTTTTATAAATATAAAATTCAATTTTATAAATAATTAAAAGTAATTTGTAATTATGAGAAATTTTTGTAACTCTTAAAAAATTTGTAACTTTTAAAATTTATGAAATATTACAACTAGGATACATACCCCTTTCACTGCTTGGAAAATATAACCATCGATCAAGAGAGTTGATGCGACATACATAGCCAGCTAGATAATCAAGGATGTGTGCCATCAATGCTGTACCTAGCATACAAAAACCGTTGAGCAAGAGTGTAATCTTACTATACTTTGATCAGTTGAATACTAGCTAGCTAAAAAACTTACCGGCAAGAGTGAACCTACATGTTCGCACCGCTCAGAGTTTTGCTGGTGTTTCCTTCACCATATGATACAACATGTCCTTTAGGACTTTGGGTGTTTTAAACCCGGATTCTGATATCATCTTTGTGCTATTGATATCAGTGTCTTTTCCGGCTTCCGCAGTTCCAAGCTCAACGACGTCAGTGGCAAACAATAAGTCAGTTTTTGAACCAACTTTTCTGCGTTGGCATGGCTCTTGTGCTGCTACTGAACGGTCATTGTTGACTCGGTTGTTCGTGCTCTTGCTTTTCTGCTCCCCGCTATAATAGATATTTATGAGCTGACTGTTCTATATCACCGCCCTCAATGCCCTTCATGCATATAAGCTGAACTTACGAGAAGACATCGATGGTATCATGGTAGAAGCAGCAGTCGATGATGGTCCACACATGTTTCAGTAGATCGGATTCACTACGCTCTTTACCAAGATAATTATAATAAAGCAAGTCGAGTACTTTAGCAATGGACGTGCTCATCTAATGCAAGTATGGTTCTTTCAATCGACTGAACCTGTGTTGGGCATTAACTTCTTCAATTGCCTCTAGTTCGACCTATCAAAAATGTATAGAGCGAAATGAGTCAGCAATCAAGCTCACTTTATAACAGCTGGTTTCTAGCGTTGAGGTGTCCTGCTATTACTTGTCTAGCTGTTAGTTGTTTATTGATTTTGTTATAGTTAATAAGCCTGTCCTAAACAGTATAGCCATTAATGGCCGATACAAGTTTAATCAGAATCATCACTATATTCATCATCACTATATTCATCTTCACTTTCATTTTCATGTGTATATATCTGACTATATCCAATGATTAACTTCTGCATTTGCTCTTGACACATTTGCATAATATCATCCCTATTTGTTTCTTTTGCTTTTATTAAATCAATATAATATCTAAAGTATGAATTGAAAAACCTTTTATACTTATAATTTTCCTTTTCAAGTTTTAAAATAAGTTCATCAATAAAACTACAATCATAAGTATCATTTAATTTATCCATACAGGGCTTACATGCAATCATACACATATATTCACCCTCACCTAATTCACATTCATCGTTATCAGAATCACCCTGTGAGGCATCTGCACCAGAGGTGTTTTCTAACATTGCTTCGGAAATATGAGGATTTGAGGATTGCTGAAAATTTGAATTTTCAGCATATGTTTCTTTTGTCTATGTATTTGAAATATGAGGAATTTCAAATTACTGAGAATTTGAATTTTCGGCAACTATTTCTTTTGGAGGTAATGTATCGGGTTTTTCATAGTAGTTCTCATATTTATGTAATTTTTCCTTTAGTTTTATATTTTCCTTTAATGTTTTCTCTTTACTTTTTTTAATAGAAATAATATCTCTTTTATTATTCGCTTTACTTAAATTATTTTTAGATGAGTCTTTTTGTTTTTTTGATGCTTTACGTTTTATTAATAATTTATTCTTTTTAATATTATAATTTATATCATATTTTTCATAAATTGTTTCTTCAGCAAATTCTTTAATATTTATATTATTATTATTTAAAAATATACTTAATTTATTGGTATCAAGAACGATTTTGTCATTGTTGAATGTGATTATGTTGTTCATGTTTAATATTATGAAGTGTTATTTTTATATAATAAAAAAAATTCAATTTTTATTTTTTTAAAATTTTTAAATATATGCATGCCAAGACATACATAATTTAATTTTATGAAAATTATTTTGGTTACACCAACTTATTGTGACTATTCGTCCAACTAGTACCAATAAATCAGAGCATAATCATTATAACCTCAACCGGTCCCCTGAGAATGAAGTTGATCGTGGCCAACTTACTAAACCTTTATATTTGGCAATGTATTCATTCATTTCATCAGGTATGGTCTTCAGCTTCGGTGCTTGATGACTTTTTATTTCTTGGATCTCCTTCTCAGTGAAGACAAGGGCCCAAACATTGTCTTGTGGATCCAAAATGAGCGAGTGAGATAAGCTAAACAAATGCAAAGCAAAGTTAAGATATACCGAGCATAAGGTTATAGCGTAGTAGAAGAAAACACTATCATTACTTACTGTTCATGATTGCATATCGCTGCAACTTTCTCCATTTGCTTTTCGACAATTGTCCCCATACTCAGACGCCACATTCTTTCTTCATCCAATCTTTTGTACATTGCTGTTATCAATTCTTTGTCTTCTGATGAAAGCTTATACGCTTTGCTCTCTGGCGAATCCATTGAGACGGTGTTGGACGTTATTTTTCTGTCTTCGGAACTTGCAGAAGCAAATGCAGAGGCCAGCGCATTCCAATCAGGGTTAGATTGAATGCTTGCTCAGGGGCCCCCTCGTTCTTCAGCATATATCGATGCCCATTGCAACTGATCACCTCATCCAAGATTCGCTCGATCAATTGATCAATCGATATCGATTCCATATACAGTTCAACCATTATATAACAATAGAAATGATCGTTCTGCATACCATGTAGTAAATGATCAAGAATTTAGTGGAAAAAATTTAAAATACATATATGTACTTACTGTATCATCTGCAGCAGGATAATAATCATATAAAGAGTCCAATATTACCATGTCATCCAACGGAACAATTTCGGGTGGAGTGTCTCTAGTACGGCAGGCCACACAGGTTCTATACGGTCTAGTATTACCACTGAAATCCATTCCAGGCTTCTCACTGCAGCATCTCTTGCAAAGATAGTTGTTGTTGTAGTCAAAATTGCCAGCACTAAGTGCTTCAGTGACAGTTGGTAAAGTAGAGTTCGGTTGGTTACGATGTCTAGAGTTCATTCTGCAATTAATAAAAAAAAGAGTTGGAGAAAGAGCAGGGAAGAGGAAGAAAACACCCAAGCCACTTCTTTCCAGGGTCAAAAAAATTCAGACTCCATACACTCTTTCGCGTTTGTTAATCATCTAATGATGGTTCTAGAGCAACTACTTTTCTTTTACTATACACATCATCTTTCTGCTATCTCATACTTTAGGTCAGCTAAATTTTAATTCCTATAGGATCATATATAAATATGGAAAAAGTGATGTTTGTTGGTGTATACATCTGGATGTGTCCAGTTGAGTATTTATCTCAGGTTGATAATGGGTGTTCGCGTTTCTGGTGCGGGACAATGTGAAACCCGAAATTCCTCAACACGAATTTTTGGCGGCTCCTATGAAAGCGATCTAGGGATAGAACGCCGCACAGAGTTTCATTGAAAGTCTTCCCACATTTTTTTAAAATCACTGTTGCAGATGCTCTAATGAGCAGTCCGAATGATGGAATATAGTAACGATCGATCAATGCACTAGATTATAGCCACCGCTGCTTATTGTCGTACTTTATAAATTCTTTGTTTGTATATCATAAGTTTGTTGTATACGCGACCTGCTCTGTTCAGACATACTCCCAATAACTGCCGAAGCTGGTTTTCATTCGTGCATCATAAGCTTCTCCAGCGAAGGGGTATTCGCGCTATCAGCTATACATATAGTGTGGATCTAGTACACATTTTGAAAAACTTATTAAACTAGTTACACGCAAAATATACAATCATCTTTACACAGAGTTCTTTCCAAACATCCCTACTTCGCCACATTTGTGCCACTATATTAACTTACTCGGGCCTTCCTCCAAGGACGTAGGCTTGGGCTCCACCCTTGAGAAAAGTGTATCAAAGAAAAAATAAAGAACTCTACGCAAACCAAGAGAGGGACGATGATAGACCCCAGTGTTACCCAGCTGCTACCAGGTATCATCTTGATTTACTCGGGCTTTCCTCCAAGGACGTAGGCTTGGGCTCCACCCTTCGAGAAAAAGAAAAGACATAAGGAGATTCATCAGCTAATGCAACTGGATTGAATCTAAAACAGATCTTAAGTGAGACTACGATTTCTGACTTACTGCGATCTTCCTTTCACGTAAAACATTTGGAGCGCTCATTGTATCCTAGCAACGAGGCCTAACAGAAAAAGTCCATTAGAGTGAGAAAAATACATTTTAGCGAAACCACTTGCGCATCTGCTATTATGTCAAACCTGTTGCTCACCACGTTCAATACTTGGTAAGGGTTGCTACAATTACGAACCTCCTGTAGAAGGTGGAAAATTGTGTGACGTGGTCCTGTCGGCCCCGCTATTGCCTCTATCTGTCATGGGATCACCCAATCCTCTATTTATTTCGTTTACAGCAATTATCAATAAACAATCTCTTTCTTCCCTGCATTTCTATCTCTTGGCGCCGTTTTCGTCAAGTCGTTTCTCATCGGTTTCACTTCGTATGTGAGGGCAAGAAGGGTTCCTTGGCTCGATAGCCTCGTAATGGTCATTAATGGACGATTATTATAATATAGTTTTGATCTGCTCTTGTACTCCAATATCCCTGTTCTCAGACGTTATCTCTGTTCATTCAGACGTTGTATCTCTGCTCTGCAGTCGTTGTATCTCTGTCCTCCTCCTTCATTGAGGTATGGATTAGTCGTTTATATTTTGCTCCTATCATTTTTGCTATTATCCCCCTTTATCCCTGATATATGTATCGTTGTATGTAGGCATAGTGTGACAGTCTTTTTAAAGATCTTATTACAATACTCCGCGTTGTGACTTCGCGGATCTCGCGGCCAATTACATCGCGAGATTGGGCAACCAAACAGACCACAATATAAGAATCTCCGTGAAACGCCATATGTCTCCATGCATCTCTTGTACTATTGTATTCCTGCAAGCACCGAGACTTGATTTCAAAATAGAGAAAGACAAGTTACTATTCCTTGTTTTTTTTCGCTATATATAAGCCTGGTAGTAAAAAGCTGGAGAATTCGGTAGGCTGGAGGACCCAACAATACAACCGCCATTGCAGTCCATGGATCACGCGGATTCTTTGTCAATTATTACAACGACGAGTACGCCTGACATCGGTCACACGTGTTGTCAAGGGTGCTCTTTACATGCGTGTGTCGCGGGAGACTTTTGTTATTGTCGCATTCATTCATACTAATCTGACCGGTGGTCTCAGCATCCGAAAAGTTGACCATCAGTAAGTCAGTTATATGAGCAAACAAAACGATCCATTAGTGCCATGCAAGAGCAATGTTCGGTTCAGATATTTACATCAGGCTGGACCAACAATGATCCAGACCGACTATATAATTTTGATATACCATCTACGTTTGTATGTATGATGGGACCAAGTGAGTATGTGAGCTTCATCAATAGGTGTTTGTATTCCAAAAAAGAGAACAAGGAGCACATCAAATTACTGCTCTTGCATATATAAAACCGACTGTTTGAAAACAACTTGTGATTATCTACGTTAGTGCAGGACTATCTGGTCCAGACACGATAGGCTCCATTGCAATCAAATTAGCAACCAATTCGCGCCGTTGCTCCCGTCCTAGAAAAGCCCAAATTGCTATAAGATATGATGAAAGGAAAGGAATAACGAATGAACCAAAAGCAGGTGACAGCCGCGGGCATGAAATTGTAAGAATAAAGCATCCTTTGGAAATCTTAATACGCTTTATAATTTTTGGCGAACAACAAACTCGCTGCCGATTTTATATACCAAAACACGAAGAACACGGTTGATATTATGTGTGAAGTATTACATAAATCGCCAAATCGAGGCAATAATAGCTTTGCTCCACGAATATCACTAAACACCTCAGCTCCTGCGTAAACGTGTGCTTCTGGAGAAAATATATCTTATACATACTACTCCTCCTTAGTTGATATAATTCTAAAATAAAATCATTAGCTTACTCACATCACCAATAATCTATAGAGTTTCAAAAATCAAAAATTTAATTCGACAAACATTTATTTGGGGTGGTTGTGAGTACCTAATAGGTGCCACCATGCCACCGATATATTATTCGTAAAAACAAAGGCTATATATGTCAGAGAAAAGGCAAGTCATTTACTCACAGACAAATCTTTACATTCGTTGTTGGCAGTTAAAGAATGAAGTTTTCCGTTTCTACACGCTTGCGCCATTCTTCAGATGCATACTTTTTGAGTATTTCAGCAACAGCGTTGTTTATCAGCTCGCCAACCAACCGCAATACTCTCTCAAAACATTGGATGTGAGTTCTTTTACCACGCTAATGTATCTTATTTATACAGTACTCAACCAGAATAAGAATGTGATCATTTAAAGATTACTTAAAGTCATATCAATCTATTTTCCTTAGAAAGAAAGACATGGAATACACTTCCCACTTTTTCTACGTTGTTACAATATATATCACGCTTATGTAACTATAAACTCGACTGTTCTACCGCTCATAATTGGAGCTCATCCGACAAACGTTTGTTAAGAACAGGCGTAGCATTCCTGATTATACACATTTTTACGTATAGGTAAAAGTACAGAACTGACATCTATGACCCTGTCTATCACTAACTGGATTTCATCTTTTATATGAGCCTTTACATGACTTATGACAATCTTTTTTATTATTTATCAGCCTTTACTACAAACACAACTTGCAAGAAGATGCCTCTCGTCATGCTTATCACCATGGAGAGAAGTCATTACAGTCAAGGCGTTGCTAAGTAATCTGTACCATGCTACGTAGTTACTAACTGGTTCCTCCGGACCTATGAGTAGATCATCACATCATTAGAACATACCAGAATTCTTCAGAGTATGTACATACATTCTTGTTATGTGACTACAGTACAACATTAAACCATGTAGTAGCAGGCAGCACATCATCTAACTGCTCTTTTAGTGAAGTAAGGAAAAGCTTGGCACGTACTGCTTATAACAAAAGATGCAGTATTTATTGTTGTTTTTGTTCAGTGCTGCAGCACGTATGATGCCGAAGAGTAGCACTATCCCTGTTGGTGCAACGCTAAACAAAAAAAGGCCCTGATTTCTATTCTAAATTAAGGAAGCTCACAACAATTTGTTCAGATGATAGACGACACTTACCTAACTTCTTATTGTATTCTATTATTTAAGAGCTTTAAACTAAATAAGGAAAGATGTGATTGCCAGCTTATCGATCCCACTTTGCAACATATTCACATTTTGCAGATCCTAGATTTTGCAACTTTTTTGACAGTATTCCCGCTGTTGCAAAAAGCGGGGGTTCACTGTACAAACAAAGATAATCAAGCAAACTTTTAATGAAAATAGTGGCATAAACATAA